CTTTCTCTAGCATTATGGGAACTGTGGCTGACCCAAATCCTCAACTCTAAACCCTGAACATTAAAATATCCCAGCCGCCCACCTCGGTTCTGTAGCCCAATCCTATAGCCGGGTTTAGGGTTTGGGGTTTAGGGTTTAGGGTTTGGGGTTTGAGGTTTGGGGTTTAGCGCACCCCCCCCCCCCCCCCCCGCACCTAGGTCTTGTAGGCCACCCAATCGCGGAGCCAGTTTCCCGCCCGCTGCACCTGCACTGCAATGAAAAGTCCCGCCATGGTCGCCTTGGAGTCACAGCGTGTTTAGGGTTTAGGGTTTAGGGTTTAGGGTTTAGGGTTTAGGGTTTAGGGTTTAGGGTTTAGGGGAGGGCTTTCTCAGGTTTGAACCATGGGCCCTTAGTGTGGTCCCTTACCGGCCCTTGAAAGGGTCTTGCTGGTGCGCATGCACTCTTAGATAAACCTCCAAAGCCCACCCTAAACCCTAAACCTTAAACCCTAAACCCCAAACCCCAAACCCTGAACCCTAAACCCTAACAAGTCGCCATCTGCCCTGACATCTCAAAGCTCGCCATCCCCACGCAGGCGACCACAAAGGCCAGCAGGAACAGCATCATCAGCTCCTCGGTTGCTTCCCGGACGGAAAAACATGCCATGATAAGTAACAAGGTCTAGCCGACGGTCTAGGGAGTTATAGCATTTAGGATGAATATATATATATATATATAGGTGCATGTATATGTACATCTATATATATATACACACATAAACGTACATGTGTAACCTTACATTCTACAGACATGGCTTACCTACTCTGGTAACGTTTTGCACAAAGTGCCCCCCCCAGAGACCAATACCTATCAATCAAGGAACATGAAGGACCCCTATATATTTCACGGTATATTCCGGAATGAAGGGGTATTGGGCTCTCTGGGTTAAGCTGAGCCAGAACCCCATCCCTAAACCCTAAACCCTAAACCCTAAACCCTAAACCCGGCTCTTTGGGTTAACGGCAATCCAGGCTCTGGGATCCGACCCAAGTTCACGCGGAAGCGGCCGATCTGCCAAACATTGCCGGGCGCCGGCTCAGCGGGCTCCTCGTTCTTGCCTCGGGGTTTAGGGTCTTCGGGTTTAGGGTTTAGGGTCTTAGGGTCTTAGGGTCTTAGGGTTTTGGGGCTTCAGGGTTTTGGGGCTTTAGGGCTTTAGGGGTTTAGGGTTTAGGGTCTTAGGGTTTTAGGGCTTCAGGGTTTTGGGGCTTTAGGGCTTTAGGGTGTTGGGGTTTTAGGGCTTTAGGGTTGAGGGTCTTAGGGTCTTAGGGTTTTGGGTATTCTAGAGCATTTTAGGGTTTGGGGGTTTAGGGTCTTAGGGTCTTACGGTTTAGGGGTTCAGGGGTTGATTTTAGGGCTTTAGGCTTTTAGGGTGTTAGGGTTTTAGGGCTTTAGGGTCTTAGGGTTTTGAGGTTTTAGGTTTTGGGGTTTTAATATCTTAGGGTTTAGGGTCTTAGGGTTTTAGGGTTTCAGGGCTTTAGGGATTAAGGGTTTTACGGTTTTGGGGTTTTAGGGTTTTAGGGTCTTAGGGTTTTTAGGGTCTCAGGGTCGCAGGATTTTAGGGTCTTAGAACCTTTAGGGTTTTAGGCTTTTCGGGTTTAGGGATTTAGGGTCTTAGGGTCTTAGGGTTTTAGGGTTTTAGGGTTTCAGGGCTTTAGGGATTTAGGGTTTTAGGGTTTTGGGGTTTTAGGGTTTTCGGGTTTTTGTATATTTTAGGGCATTTTAGGGTTTAGGGGTTTCGGGTTTTCCGCGGCGTCTAGGGTATTTAGGGTTTGTGATGTGTCTACGAAGGGCTTTAGCTGGAAGGGCTTTACCTGGTACAAAGTGCAAGGGTTCTAACCCTCAACATACTCGGCTATCGGGGGACCTGGGTATAGGGCCACAAAGCCAGACCCTAAACCCTGAATCCTACACCTTGAATCCTGAACGACAGAGCCCAATACCCCTTCACCAAGGAATATGCCTTAAATCAGATTAAGGATCCCTATAAAGTATATTCCTGAATTGAGGGTACTGGGCTCTCTGAGTTAGAAGCAAGATCAGCTGGTCCACCTGTTTGCCGCTTGCGTACTTTGCTTTCCGCAGCCATGATGCTCGGATGCTCAAAAACTGCGGCTGGTAGGGAGACGAAGTTTTTTCAAGATTTAGGCTGCAGGGTTGAGGGTTGAGGGTCTAGGGTGTTGGGTTGGTTCAGAAGACTTGGGGAGTTCGGGCTGTGCAATACTGCAGTTGGCTTAGTAGCCCAGCAACCATATTATAATAGGGGCACCCTTTTTTGGGCTGACTACTTTCTAGAGGAACCTTGGACCAAACAAAGGGAAAACGGTACCACTGGGCTACCCAGTTGGGGATAAGACTTCCAAACATGTACTGCGCGCCAAAGACAAATAGGTGGCTTCGGTTGCCTCCGGCGAGCACTCGAGCAAAAAGCTGAGCAGCTACCCCAAATGCGCTGGTTTAGGGTTTAGGGTTTAGGGTTTAGGGTTTATTCAGAGCAGCAGTAGGCGTGAATATGGCTAGCACATACATCGATGGTTTAGGTTGCCCAAACAGGGACCATGATTTGGAGAACTGACAAAAACCCAGAAGACCACCATTGTTTGGGGCTTATGGGGGCGCTCGGCCGCTCGTGCGTGCGCTAGTGGCGCGCAGTAGAATGTAGACGTGCCCACCACAAGACCGCCCGAACACTGCGGCTGATGGTTATCATAAGAAATCGGCTGTTGCAAGTGTGGGTCAGGAAACTTCTTGTTCCCAGAAGTTGCAGGGAGGCAAAAAGGCCTGATGCGTGAACCGACGTGCAAAGACCTTCCAGTGCTCAACTTTTGCTCGTGTTTCGCTGGAGCTTCCGACGTGACCTGGCCCCAAAGCCTCAACCACAAACCCCAAACCCCAAAACCCTAAACCCGAAAAACCCTATTAAAGGCCTAAATTTCCAGCCCCCCCCAAACCCCTCAATGTGTCCCAGAGCTCTCAGAGACCTCGCAGTGCCACCCTCAGTAGTTCCAGGGCCCGCCTTGGTTGCCCCTAAACTTTAAACCCTAAACCCTAAACCCTAAACCCTAAACCCTAAACCCTAAACCCTAAACCCTAGGAAGTGACCAGGCACGCGTAAAAGCAGGGTCAAGGGTCTCGGACGGTCCTTAAAACCCTCTGAAAAAGATTCCTAAATATGTATGTATATATATATATAGTCTTTTTAAACCCAATCAGGGAACATATATATAGGATACCCCAAGGGCCTACCCAGAGGTGGTGCAGGGTGTTTCGAGGTGATTGTGGCGCAGAGGTTGAGGGTGTCGGGTTCAGGGTAGGGGTGCAGGGACTTAGAGTTTACCCAAAGGCTCCTATGTAGTACCTTTTTGGGGTAGTATACTAGAATCCCCTGTAACTAACCCAGGGTCTGTTGCCGAGCGTCTCTGGTGGTGGCAGCGGGTCCGAGTCTACTTCCGCCGGAGGCCGGTTCTCCAGGTTGAGGTTTTCGGGGGCGAAGTCCGGATTCCTTGGAGCTGGCAAGGAAGAATTTGGGGGTGTCTTGGCTCTGTAGGGTTTTGGGGTCTAGGGTTCTAACCCTTCAGTGGGCTGGGAGAGGAAGAGAGAGAGAGAGAGAGAGGGAGAGAGCGAGAGAGAGAGAGAGAGTAGAGAGAAAGAGAGAGAGCGCGAGAGACAGAGAGAGAGCGAGAGAGAGAGAGAGGGAGGGAAAAGAAAAGGGTTCAGGGCATCTAAAACCCGTAAAGCAACACTGCCCTTTCACAAAATGAGTGTGACGTCCTGCACCCCAGCCCCAAGTACCCCTTAAGAAAGGGTGCTTGGGGGGTCTAGGCGGGATTGAGGGTTAGGCCAGGATGGGCTATCAGACCCTATAATCCCCATATAATCAACCCTAAAACAGGGCCTTTCTAAGGGTAGGGGATAGGATTAGGGGGACCCTTGGGGATGTAGACCCTCTGAATAAGGTCCTTGTATAAGAGAGCCTCTGCTTTTCAGCACCTGGCAGAAACCTAAACCCTAAACCCTAAACCCTAAACCCTCAACCCTCAACCCTCAACCCTAAACCCTAAAGCCTAAACCAAACACGCCCGGGCGCCGGGAGCCCTCGGGCGCCTCCCCAGCCGGCCCGGGCGCGGGCCCAGGCCCACAGAGCGCCTTCCTGGACCAATGGGGTTGGGAGGGGTTTAGGGTTTAGGGCTTAGGGTTTAGGGTTTAGGGTTTAGGGCTTATTGGGGTTTAGGGTTTAGAGCTGTACTTATCAGCCCCCTAAGTCCTCTAAGTAGGTGGAAAGCGCCCATGAACGTCCAAGTAGGGTAGGGTATAGGATAGAGGGTTTAGGTTTTAGGGCTTTAGGTTTTTGGGTAAGAGTTGGCACCTATACTTTCCGGCTGCTGAAGGGACACACGGCCAGCGGGGTGTTCAGCTCGGAGACAGCGCCCAACCCACAACGAACTACACTTTGAGAGGACCGAGTGGTCTGGTTTTGGGGTTCAGGGTTTAGGGTTTAGGGCTCAGGGTTTAGGGTTTAGGTTTAGGGCTTAGGATTTAGGGTTTAGGCTTTAGGGAACCCTAAACCCTAATTAAACCCTAAACCCTGAAGGTAAACCTTTTCAGGCAAGTTGCCAGTAGGTGGGCGCCAGCTTCTGCGAGTCCGCGACATTGGCGGACATGGCCTGCAGATCCTGGCGGAGATGCAGCAAGGCCTATCACAGCCAGGCGAAACCAGCACGGGCACACTGGGCCTTGCACGCGAAACCCTAAACCCTAAGCCCTAAGCCCCAAGCCCTAAACCCTAACCTAAACCCTAAGCCCTAAGCCCTAAGCCCTAAACCCTAAACCCTAAACCCTAAACCCTAAACCCTAATCCCTAAACCCTAAACCCTAAGCCCTAAACCCTAAACCCTAAACCCTAAGCCCTAAACCCTAAACCCTAAGCCCTAAACCCAAAACCCTAAAGCCTAAGCCCACCCTTTCACAGGGCCTGTTAAGGTTGATAGGGTCTCATTGGGCAGTTGGCCTTGCAGTCCTCACATCCCACCCTTTTCAAAGGCCCTAATTTTTTTGGCAGCCGCAGTGACCATATTTGAGCCCTTGTGGGGGGATGGTTACTTCGGATGGTTACTTCTAAACCCCTAAACCCAAACCCCAAAACCCTAATCCTAAACCCTAAGCCCCAAACCCTAAACCACACCCCAAAAAGGGCCTAAGGCGCTTCCTTGGTCCATGAGTCGGGGCCACTTGGTCACAGGCTACCACTGGGGCTACCTACCCTAAACCCTAACCTCCAATACTAAGGCAAACCTTTAGGGTTTAGGGTTTAGGGTTTAGGGTTTTAGGGTCTTTTAACCTGTATAAACCCCCCACCCCACTACTGCAAGCCCTGACCTCTCTTATCCTGTACAACCTGGATACCCCCCCCCCCCCCGGCCCCCTTCTCCCTAAGCCCTGCGCTGAGCTCTCTTACCTCTGAACCCTGAGCGTCCATGTACCTAAATGGGGTATACTTGGGCCGCAAAGTACCTCCGAAATAAGGATTCGCCCTAAACCCTAAACCCTCAACCCTAAACCCTCAACCCTAAACCCCAAACCCCTGAACCCTAAACCCTAAACCCTATTTTGGGGGCCCAAGTGCATAATAGTAAGGCACATAGACCCTTAGGGGAACTGAGGCCGCGCCTCTTCCAGCGCAGCTTTCAACGACTCTCGCACCAAAACCAGGGCGGCGGCACCGGGACAGGACTGAGGAGGCAGAGCGAGGCTTTTGGGTTTAGGGTTTAGGGTTTAGGGTTTAGGGTTTAGGGTTTAGGGTTTAGGGTTTAGGGGTTAGGGGTTAGGGGTTAGGGGTTAGGGGTTAGGGGTTAGGGTGTAGGGTTAGAAGTACCCTAGATCGATAGCCGTACTTATAGCCCTACTTCTAAGTACCCATGAACCTCCAAGTAGGCTTTGTCAGGGTTTTGTTAGGGCCGAGGGGGCTAGAGCGGCTAGAGCTCCTTTTCTACGGACCAACGGCTTTGTGGAGACGTGCCTATAAAGCCCTAAACCCTAAACCCTGAGCCCTATGAGCCCTATGAACCTTACTTGGAGGTTCATGGTACTTATTCGCCCAATTACAGCTGTGTTTTTCACCCACTTGCAATCCCTTAAGTGCCCAAGTGTGGCTATACACCCTCTAAACCCTACATGGACAGGACAAAAGTTTCGACCCACCAAGACCTTAACACGTTGCGGAGTCGCGGAGTCGCGCACATGAGGATTTAACCTAGCCTGCGTAGCGGAGAAATTAACCCACCGCAACAACAATGGATTGCTATTTTAACAGGTGGAGTCCTGGTGGGCGAGGAGTCTGAGGGGGATGGGGGCTTGCCCTTGCCATGCTTGCCTGTGTGCCGATGCCTCTGGGTCGTGGGTCGAACTTTCGTCCTAGCTGAATATGAGCCCTATGAACCCCGTAAACCCTACAAATGTATCAAACCTTACCCTCAACCCCAAACCCCAAACCCCAAACCCTACACCCCGAAAAATGCTATAAGCCCTAGGCCCTGGACCAATGGGACTGCCCGTACCCGGAAACCCACAAGAATTCAGTGTGTGCTCAGGTTGTTGGGCTTGGGACCTCGATAAGCCCAAACCCTTGAACCTCAACCCTCAACCCTTTACCCTGACGATTTAGGGCTTTAGGGCATAGGGTTTTAGGGTTTAGGGTCTAGGGGTTAACCTCGACAAACGCAAAAACTCCACGCGCCAGACCCAGGGCGCACTCGCAAGGAAGGTGGCTTGAAGGCTTTGGCTGAACCCCAAACCTTATAAGCCCTAAGCCCCGCAACCCTAAACCCTAAACCCTACATCCCTAAACGCTACACCCTAAAAACCTAAACCCTAAACCCTACAAGCCCTCAGCTGAATGGCCTCCGTTAGCTCGGGGAACCGCTGGCGGCGCAGCGCTCGCGCCAGCGCCAACAAAGGAAGGTCCAGCCGCGCAGCGCCTGGAGGGCTTGGGCTTTAGGGTTTTGTGTTTTGGATTTAGGGGCTCAGGGGTTTTGGGTTCAGAGGCTTGAGGGTTTGGGGTTTTAGGGTCTGGGGTTGTGAGGGTTTGGGGCTCAGGGGTGTAGGACTTTGACAACCTGACCAAGCCTGCTGATGCTCCCACTTCTACTCACTACGCCGACTCTTGCCACTGAGCCGCCATAACCACCACCGCCGCACCTCAACCCTGAGCCCTACACCATAAGCCCTAAACCTGGAAACCCTAAACCCTAAACCCTTAGCCCTAAATCCTAAGCCCTTAACCCAAAACCCTCGACCCTAAATTCTAAACCCCAAACCCTTAACAACATTGACGCAGTTAGAAGTCGAGGATGCGCAGAAGCTCAATGCAAACGTCCCACCTTGAACCCTGAAGTCCCTACCCTTAGGGATGTATACAAAAATTGAAAGACAAAAATCAATACATAGTTTAAAATAGATACTGAAGAATAGATACTGAAGTATATGAAGTATTGGGTAGATAAAATGTATGGGGCCATGATCATGTACATACAAATATGTAGTTTGAGGTTTAGGGTTTAAGGTTTAGGTTTTATTTGTTTAGGGGAGGGAGGGGGGGGGGAGCGGCGAACCGCGAACCGCGATCATATGCATTGTATATTTATGTATATATATATATATCTATATATATATATGTCTATATACGTATATATACACATGTATTCAATGGATTGGGCCTCTCCTGATTAGGAACATGTACTACAGTGAGTGCCTTCTTTGGGCGCCAGCAGCATGGAGCGAACCTGGGCAAGCGCAGCTGTGCACAGTGCTACGGGCACTCCTAGTCGTCCAGTAACCTTGGGGAATTAAAGGTTAACCTTTGGGATTTGATAGGGATAAGAGTAACCCCACAAGGTTGCAGGTTACCTACTCTACTACTAAGTACTGTGTCGAGAGGCGCTCTCTTCAGTGGCCGTAGTGTGGTCTTGTGTGGCGCCTATACTAACCAAAGGATCCATGTACCTATATAGTATATACTTGGGCGTAAAGGGGGTTCCTAAGTAGTAGCTTTAGGGGGCCCAAGTATATACTATATATATATATATAGATATATATATAGGTTACATGGATCCTTAGGGTGAGGATCGGCGTGAAAAGCGTCCCTTCACAGACATTAGCCTTGCCCTAAGCCCTAGACCCTAAACCCTAAGCCTTAAGGGCACCATGAACAATCTCATTGTGCTTGGAGCTCGTGGCCCGGCAGACTTTACCCAATCGTATCTTCCCGATGGCTTAGAGGGTGCGGTGTAGGGTTTAGGGCATAGGGATTAGGATTTAGGGTTTAGGGTTTAGGCCCCCAAGCCCACGAGGCCAAAGGCACGTCCCAACAAATCCCGAAACTAAAAACCCTAAACCCTAAGCTGTTGCCTGGGAACTGGGTAAGGCTCCAAAGCATCGTCTGGCGCGGTGGAGGACGCCTAGGCTGGCCCTTGAAACGGTCAGGGTTTAGGGCTTAATGTTCCCAAGGAAGATCGTCGGAACCGCAATAAGCGTTTGGGGCTTCGGGGTTAATACTCCCATGTAAGATCGTCGTACACCCCAGTAGGGAAAACTTAACGTATTTTGCACCGACCCTCACCCCTCAACCCTACATCCTTAACCTAAGCCCTAAGCCCGAAGCCCTAGGCCCGAAACCCTAAGCCCGAAGCCCTAAACCCCAAACCCAAACAAAAAGGATTGAGCATTTCCCAAAACATACCTGGAGGCGGTGCGAATGTACAGGAATGGAAGTTCCTCTCCCGGTACGGGCTGCGCCTCTTGTTGAGATCTTCGGCTTTTAACCCATTCAGGGCTTAGAGTTTAATTAGGTTTAGGATTTGGGTTTAGGGTCTGTTTTTGTTGGTGGCTGAGTTTTTGTTTTGTTCTTGTTTTTTTTTGGTGGGGGGGGGGGGGGTTTGGAGTTTGGGGGTCTTTGGGTTTTTTAAGGGTTGCTTTTAGGGGTTTTGGGGTAGGTTTTAGGGTTGAAGGGGCTTTAGGAGAAAAAAAAGAGTCTAGTTGGGCGTTTTGGGGTTTGGAGGAGACCCTTGTACCGTGAAAAAACGACAGGATATACCGACTTACCGAAAGTTTTTTTTGGCGGAGGGGGGAGGAGGGAAGAGAGGAGGAGGGAAGGGAGGAGGAGCGAAGGGAGGAGGAGCGAAGGGAAGATGAGGGGAGGAGGGGGGAAGAGGGGGGGTGGGGGATGGTTGTGCACATTAAGTTCCTTTCCTTTCTGTTCTTCGCTCGGCTCCCGCAGGCTTGACTCAAACTCAGGCGCCCCACAAGAAAATGCTCTGGCAGGGCTGGTCGGACTCATTCTGAGCCCATTTGGCGTTAAAAGCACTTCGCCCCTCCCACCCAAAAAAAGTAAACCCCTTACCCTAACCCCTACCCAGGTCTCCAAGTCTTATGGCTGGAACAACCTGGCAATAACAAGCCATGAAGCCTCAGCACCAAACCCTAAACCTTCAACACAACCTCTCACCCCCTCCCCCTTCCACCCCCTCAACATCATAACCCCGAGCCGTATATAAACATGTCAATAAAAAAACATACATAAACAAACATAAGTATATATATATACATATGTATATATATACATATATAAACATATACATACATGGATACATGTACCTATAGAGCACCGAAAAGGGCCCCATACTTTAGAGAATCCTCACCCCCCCCCCCCCTCCCCACCACCCTAAACCCACCACCCTAAACCCTAAACCTTAAACCCTAAACCCTAAACTCAGGGACCTAGGCCGCCTAAGCCGACCTCTGTGGCGAATGGCGAAAGTGGACCCAGGTCTCTTGCCCGCCTCCTGCAGCTCGGAGGTCGGTAGCACCCACGACGGGCCCGGCACCGGAGCAGCCATAATAAAGTAAATGCCCTGAACAAACTCTCCGTGCACTGGCCATTTTAGGAAGGGGGAAACCCAAGGCCGCCAGGCCAGGAGGACCCGGACCCCTCACCGCAGCATGTCCAGGGACCAGGAAACCTCAAGCCGGTCCAGGCGGGGTGGGTGCTCAAACCTGCACATCTGCTGGCTGGGACCCAGTTCTGGGAGGGCCTGCCCCCTGTCTGGGACACCCCCTGACACGAGACGCCCGGGAACGGAAGAAGTTTTTGGGGCCATGGCCGCCCTTTGCATTCATTGCTCGATGCCCTCAAGGCTCTACTGAAAAACGTCACATTTACAGCTTGTACGCCACACTACAGCAAACCCTGAACCCTAAGCCCTAAGCCCTAAGCCCTAAGCCCTACGCCCTAAGCCCTAAGCCCTAAGCCCTAAGCCCTAAACCTTATCCCTCCGTCACAAACCTCAAGCTGCCTCGGAGTACCAGTCGCTGAGGCCTTCAAAAAGGGCGTTGCCCTCACCAAGGCCTTGGCAGGCCGAACTGAGTGCAGTAAGAACTGTAGGGTTTAGGGTTTAGGGTTTAGGGTTTAGGGTTTAGGGTTTGGGGTTTAGGGTTTAGGGTTTAGGGTTTAGGGTTTAGGGTTTAGGGTTTAGGGCTTGGCCGTTTTTGTAGGGAATTTTCGTGCTTGGGAGGTAGATTCGATGCCTAGATTCTCCTCTTGCCCTGTAGAAGGGAAGTTGTGCAACATTGGCCCAGTGGCTCTAGTCTACTAGGTGCAGGGCTACGTTGGGTAAGGTCTCGAGTTCTGCCTGGTCGTCTTCATGAACGCCCTACGCCGTAAGCCCTAAGCCCTAAACCTTAAGCCCCAAACCCGAAGCTCTACAATACCGAGCCCAATCTAAGCGCCAACGATCGGCGACATGGCCCGACCCGAGACTGCTACGAAGCCCTAGACGAGAGGGGTTTGGGGTTTAACGTTTAGGGCTGGGGTTTGGGGTTTAGGATGAGAGCTCTCTAGATTAGGGTCCCTTTGAGGTCCTGAGGTCCTATACTTGGAGGTTCATGGTACTGACTAACCAATTATTACTCTACTTCTAACTGTACTTGTAACCATATTCAGGGGCTTATAAGTGGGTTATAAGTACAGTTAGAACTGGATGCATGTACTACGGCACCCTTAAAATAAGTGGATGTTTTGTTTGGGCTGCCCGCCGAATCTTGACTCTCAAGTAAACAAAGATGCTCACAGGGCTGAGGAACCCTGAGCCCGAAAAATAAGCCTCAACTGACCTCGAAGTACTTACAGTTTACAGGCATATTTGCCTTGTCGACCCTAAACTCCTGAACCTCAATCCTATGCCTTAAAACTTAAAACCCAAGCCCTAAACCCTAAACCCGAAAAACCTAAACCCGAAAACCTAAACCCCAAAACCCTAAAACCCTAAACCCTAAACCCTAGACCCTAAACCCTAAACCTTATAAACCTTAAACCCTAAAACCCAAACCCTAAAACCCGAAACCTAAAACCCAAAGCCTAAAACCCTTTTCAGCCCCGAGGAGCTGGAGTTCGTAAACGGAGGCCGCTCCTCGAGCCAGCTCCTGCGGAAGCAAAAGCCTGAGCTGCAAGTGCAAAGAGGGTTTTGGGCTTATAGGGTTTAGGGTTTAGGGTTTAGGGTCTAGGTCTAGGGTTTAGGGTCAGGGTTGAGGGCTTAGGGTTTAGGGTTGTGATGTTCTCCCTCATACTAACTGTCCTTATTGGGGATTCTAGTACCCCCCCTATGATAATCACTATTAAGGACTGCTAGTATAAGGGGGGACATCCCAAGTTCGGGGTTAGGAGTTTAGGGCTAGTTTAGGGCTTAGGGTTTAGGACGAGCTGAGGAGGGTACAGAACAGCCCAAACCAGGGATTTAGGGTTTAGGGTTTAGGGTTCCTTCAAGCCTTAACCTTTTCCCAACAAATCCGAACAAACTGCACAATCCTAAGCCCTAAGCACTAAACCCCAACTCCCAAACTGCACCTCAATGCAGGTGGTTGCCTCCGGATACCCTTGTGGCTTGAAGGTTTGGGTTTAAGGTTTAGGGTTTAGGGTTTAGGGTTTAGGGTTTAGGGTTTAGGGTTTAGGGTTTAGGGTTTAGGGTTTAGGGTTTAGGGCTTCGGGCCTAGAGTTTAGGCTCAACGCCTGTTGGGTGTTTAGATCTGAGGAAGGTGTTCTTGGTCGACTGCGCCCGCACGCGGAAAGCGTCCGCTTCTTGTACTTGGAGGTTCATGTGCAGCTAGAACTGGACTTTGACATGCATCGGTACCCGGTAGCTGCTAACTGGCTAGACCCAGAGAGCCCAATACCCCTTAATCAAGGAATATACCTTGCATTACAAAGGGTTTAGGTTTCAGGGTTTAGGGTTAGGGTTCAGGGTTCAGGGCTTAGGGTTTAAGGCTTAGTTCAGCTGGGAGCTTCAGACATAGCACTGACCCTAAACCCTAAACCCAAAACCCTCCATCCTTGCTTCCCAAGGGCTGTTCTCGAAAGGCAAAGGCATGCCCTTGCAACGTTGCAGCACTCCTGGGCTGCGAGGCGTTGGGGTCTAGACTGGGCTTTAGGGTTTAGGGTTTAGGGTTTTAGGGTTTAGGGTTTAGGGTTTAGGGTTTTAGGGTTTAGGGTTTAGGGTTTGGGCCTTGAGGGCTTTTGCAAAAAAAACTTGGGGGAGCCAAGTAACAAACGAAGGCCGGAAATCCAAGAGCAGGTAGGCTTTAGGGTTTAGGGTTGAGGGTTTAGAGTTTAGGGTTCAGGGCTTAGGGTTTAAGATTTATGGATTTGAGGCTTGGGGGGAGGGAGGGGGGGAGGTCGAAGACAGCCTGGTCGTCCCTTCTGCGGCAGCACGGCCACAAAGGCAACCTGGCAGGTCGATCACGCCGACCAACATTGCAGTCACCCCATATATTTAGATATTTTTTTATTAATTTATTAATTTATTCATTTTTTTTTTTTTTGGGGGGGGGGGGGCGGAGTGAGGGCCGGGGAGGGTGGTGGGTGGGTGGGAATTTCATGTTCCAGGATAACATAACAACAACTCGACTTGGTGTAGGTCACCAACCCCCTAAGGCGCCATGGTAGTTGGGATGGACAAACCCTAAACCCTAAACCCTAAACCCTAAACCCTAAATCCTAAACCCTAAACCCTAAACCCTAAACCCTAACCCGCTAGGAAGTTAGATCAACCTCATTTCGGTTCTGATACAACACGGACTGTTCCCAAGATGAGGGCCAGCTTGAAAATGATAACCCCAAAAGGCAAAACCCGAAACCTGAACCCCAAACCCTAAACCCTAAGCCCTAAACCCTAAACCCTGAAGGAAACCCTAGGTGGCGCCTGGATGCTGGAGCAAGAAGCATTCCGGGCGAACATCCGCGAGACTTGCTGTCTCAGCCTAGCAGGTTCAGGACGCCCCTAAACCCTAAACCCTAAACCCTAAACCCTGAACCCTGAACCCTGAACCCTAAACCCTAAACCCTAAACCCTAAACCCTAAACCCTAAACCCTAACCAAACCCCACCACGCGAGCACTGCTTCGGAAAACACGGAGTGAGAAAACACCGTTTCTGAAAACGCTGCCTAAGAAACGAGACCTTCGGATTTTGGGAGTTGCTGGACGGGCCTTAGCAGCCCAGTAGCCAGCACCAGCTTAGGGTTTAGGGTTTAGGGTTTAGGGTTCAGGGTTTAGGGTTTAGGGTTTGTAGCTACGCTCGCAGACTCTTCATTCAGACCTATCAGTTTACACCTTGGCTGGTGCGAAGCGAACTCGGGCGCCGGATCTGGAACACCGCCAGCATGAGCAAAGACGAACCCTGCTTGGAGGTTCATGGGTACCTATTACCACAATTTACGCGTCTACTTACAGGGGACTTAGGCCGCTTAGAAATAGAGTTATCATTTGTGTGAAAGTACCATGAACCTCCGAGTAAGGGTCCATGTGCCTTAATAATAGGGTATACTTGGGCCGTAAATTTCCTCCTAAACAAGGATTTTGGGGCCCAACTACATAATGATAAGGTATATGGACCCTTAGGTTAACTCAAGAAAGAATCTCTGGATTCTGAAGGAGAATTCGTCCAACGCTCGAACTGTGTACGTACATGTCACACAGTAAGTCCTAGACATCTGTACATATATTGTACAGATAACCCTCGAGATGTAGGATATGCCGTTAATTAGTTGGGGCGCCGGGGAGGGGTCTACCTTCAGGACTGACGCTACTCACCTTTTTTGGGTGAACTGTACCTTGAGCCTTCTCCTTTTTTGGTGCAGGGGGGGAGGGGGGTGGGAGGGAGGGGGGGGAGGGGGGGGGGGAGGGGGAGGGGGGGGGGAGGGGAGGGGGGGGGGAGGGGAGGGGGGGGGGAGGGGGTGGGGAGGGGGGAGGCGGGGAAAAGGGGGGTGGGGGGGATGGGGGGGGGGGAAGGGGGCGGGGGGGTAGGGTTTGCGGTTGAGAGTTTAGGAGTTCTTTTGGGGTCTGCTTAAACGCTCCAGTGTAGTTCCTAAAGGGGATTCTAGTATGCTGCCCCAGAAAGGTACTGCATACATAGGAGCCTTTGGGTAGGTGCTCTCAAAAAGTCCAGGACTTGCTGGGATCCGCCGGGAGGGTTTACTGGACCCCCCAAGCCTGACACCCTAAACATCCCTAAACCCACCCTTAAATTATACAGGGATCCTGAAAAAATGATCTAAAGTATATTCCTTAACTAAGAGGTATTGGGCTCCCTTGAATACCCCGTTGCGCACTCAACACGCCGCGCAGCACCTCTGGGAGTTAGGGTTTTGCTGCGCGGTCAGGAAGCAAGCTGGCTCCTGGACTTTGCACGATGAAGCCCTAAGCTACACGGAAGCCATGCCATCCGCGTATAAAAGGAATTATAGTACCCCCTATTAGAAAATCTAGGGGGGAACATCCCACGCCTACAAACCCTAAACCCTCAGCCTGTGGCAGACCGTCAAGCAAATCTTTACGCCTAGCTGGCAAACTGCATGCGTCGGCCGTAACCCTAAATCCTACAGCCCTAAAACCCTAAAACCCTTAACCCTAAATGCCTGTCAACTGTGAAGATGTCATCATCGTCCCAGATGCAGATGACGTCCGCGTCAGACCTGGGAGGGCCACAGCGATGATGGCGGCTGGGTATCTATGCGCTGAGCACATCTGACTGCTCTAACCCTATGGCTCCATGTACCTTTTTGAGTATATACTTGGGCCCCCAAAAGTCATGGGTACAGGAAGTACTTTGAAGCCCGAGTATACCCTGTTTGGGTACCTGGACCCTTACTTGAAGGTTCATGGTACTTATTTAACCAGCTATAACTGTACTTGTAACCCACTCATAAGCCCCTTAAGTGCCCTAATATGGTGAAAAGTACAGTGAAAAGTACAGTTATACTTGGTTAATAAGTACCATGAACCGCCCCAAACCCTAAACCCTAAACCCCAAACCCTAAACTCCCTAAACCCTAAACCCTACACCACGGGAGTTGCATCAAGAACCAGGCTGGCTTGCAGCTGAAACGGCCATGTTCCGCTTCTCGCCGATGGTGTGCCGCTTCGTGAGGTGGAAGTACCTGCAGAGTTGGGCTTCCTTTAGGGTTTAGGGTTTAACTACCCTAAACCCTAGACCCTAAACCCTAAACCCCAAACCCTAGGCCCTAAACTTTAGGCTTCAGGAATTTCGGACCCATGGGGTCATCTGCAGGGAAGAGTGCATTCCGCTGAGGTAGCTGACAGAAGCCCAAAAACAGTGCCAAAATCCTTCAACAAACAGCTTACCCAAAGGCTCCTATGTAGTACCTTTTTGGGGTAGTATACTAGAATCCCCTACAACTAACCAAAAAAGGAAGTACATTGGAGCCTTGGGGTAACCCTAAACCCTAAACCCTAAACCCTAAACCCTAAACCCTAAACCCTAAACCGGTAACCCTGGCAGCCCAGTAACCATGCCATGGTAAGGACACCCTTTCGGGGGCTGGTTGCTTTACGAGGGAACCTGGAACCACATAAAAAGGGCAAACGGGCACCACTGGGCTACCAAGTACCCCTAAACCCTAAACCCTAAACCCCAAACCCGAAACCCTAAACCCTGAACCCTAAACCCTGAACCCTATACCCTATCTTAGTAGCCCAGTAACCATATTATAATAATAAGCACACCCTTTTTTGGGCTGATTACTTTCTAGAGGAACCTTGAACCAAAAAAAAAGGGAAAAGGGTACCACTGGGCTACCCAGCTATACTACCTGAAGGCTCCAATGTAGTTCCTTTTTGGGTTGGCTATAGGGGATTCTAGTATGCTACACCAAAAAGGTACTACATAGGAGCCTTTGGGTATAAACCTTCTCATTCGAAGTGTACCGCCTGGCCTCACAGGCACGTTGCCGGCAGTGGTAAGCTCGCTCGCTTGGGGGCTGTCGTCCACGACGACCACCTTAGGGTTTAGGGTTCAGGGCTTAGGGCTTGGGTTTAGGATTTAGGATTTAGGGTTTAGGGTTTAGGGTTAGGGTAGGGTTTAGGGTTTAGGGTTTAAGGTTTAGGGTTTAGGGTTTAGGGTTTAGGGTTTAGGGTTTCGGGTTTAGAGTTTAGGGTTCAGGGTTCAGGGTTTGAGGCTTCGGGTTGCTTAAGATGTTCGGGGCCTACTGTGAAGTTCGGGACTGGGAATCTGTAGGTGCCGGCTTGATTTTCGGAGTTTCTACACTACGTAGATTTGGCCCAAATAATTGCCAATAAGATCACTCTCAACCCTAAACCCCATAATCTCCACTTCCATTCGAAATTCGAAATTCGAAGTGACTGGCCCTCTCCATTGCCACTTGGGGGCGTAGCCTGTTCCGGATCTAGGGGCTGATGGGGAGCGTGGCTTGTTCATTTTTTTAGGCTCAGAAACTTCAGAAGCCCTGCCAAACCTGGGGGCCAGAAATACCATCTTCTGGGCTGCCCAGTAACCTGGGATCAAAAAGGGTGCCCTTTTTTGCTTAAAGGGGTTTATCAGAGAACCTAAACCACCCCCCCAAAAAAAGGGAATAAGGGCACTACTGGGCATCCTAGTCTTTTCCTCGAAACAAGATGGCTTTGGTCGAAGCATGGCTGCACTCAGAAGGGTCGCTATAAACTACACTTTCGGCTGCCGTATTCAGAAACACAAGAAACCCAAAAAGGCTGAGGATCTGAAGCTACAGTCAAGCACCGCAAAGGAAAATGACATCTTGTACAGGAAAAGATGGTTTTGGTGCGAAGCCGGTTGAAAGAGACGGGATGACCCTTACGGTTTTGGGGTTTAGGGTTTAGGGTTTAGTACAACATGGTCGTGGCGAGAAAAGTATCGTTCTATCGAGCAAAGCCAAACAAAAACATGGTTGTTTTCATCTAGGCTGCCCAGTAGCCTAGGCTTAAAACAGGTGCCCTTTTTTAAAGGGGTTTATAAGGGAACCTAAACCCCCCAAAAAAGGGAACAAGGTTCTACTAGGCATCCTAGTCATGTTAGAATCACCCTCTTTTCTCCGACAGAGTTGTTTTCGGGGGTTTTATCTTATTGTTTTGGCGGCGTGTCGGTGTCGCCAGGTCATACTGTCAGCGGCGCAGTGAAATCAACCAAGTACCCCGCGATCTAAGAAAGATGGATGCAGAACAGCAGAATCCGATTCATTGAGAAGGGTGTGAAACGGTATGAGCGATAGAGAAGACAGGCTGGTTGGTCAAGGGGGAGGCGTGTCAAAAAAATGTAGTATATATATATATACACATATTTCTACTTACACATGTGTCCATCTGCTGATTTTTCTCCATGCCTGTATAAACCCTAAACCCATATGTGCATTTTCCCAAGTATGTTTCTGTACACCGGTAGGCTCCTAAAGTCAACTAGACCCAGGAGTAACCTAGGAATAAAAGGGTGCCCTTTTTGGTTTGAAGGAGATTATAAGGCAAGCCCCAACCCTGAAAAAGCAAATAAGGGCCTACTCCGGGTCCTAGTCAAAGCTAGGCTTTCACATCAGCAAGGAGATATTTATGGTTTAGGGTTTAGGGTTTAGGGTTTAGGGTTCCTAAAGTCAAGATAATCCGGGCGATCGCTGAACCCAAGGAGGTGTTCAGTGGAAGCCCTAAAACCTGAGCCCGAAACCCCCTCGACCTCAAACCCTAAACCCTAAACCCTAAACCGTAAACCGTAAACCACAAACCCCAAACCCTAAACCCTAAACCCTAAACCCCCTAAGGCCCAACCCTAAGATCCCAGTTGCACCCTCACAGCACACGTGCCTCCATGGGGCCAGGGTAGTCCTGCATCTCTATCTGCTGCAGCGCCTAAGGTGGGCGGGGAGGCTCTGAGGTTTAGGGTTTAGGGTTTAGGGTTGAGGCTTTAGGGTTTTGGGTTTATGAGGGTGGGCTTTGAGGTTTAGGTGGATAGGGGAGCGAGAAGGGGGACTATGCACAGCTTCGGAGGGTGCTTCTCAAACCACGCATCTCGTGCTCCTTCGCCCGATAGGCAAAGTTAAACCAAGGGGTTCAGACTCCGACCCCTACGGCTGCACCCCGAAGAGCTCCCCTGCACATACTCAGAATATGGCCCTCTTAATTCCCTTGGAGGATCTTCAAAAGGATCCCCAAACCCAGGGCACAACCTTAGGGGTCCAAGGAAGAGTCCCTGAGCCCTGCGCCCTGGAGTTCGCACAGCCCAAGTTTAGGGTTTAGGGTTTAGGGTTTAGGGTTTAGGGTTTAGGGTTTAGGGTATCGTTTTCCCGTACCTCGCCTGCTGTAGCCATGATGGGCGGTTGTACGTCACGATCTGTATGCTCACGAGGGGCCACCCTGTCTCAGCAATGCAGGATTGAAGCAGGTGAGGGGGGGGGGGGGGGGGGGGGGGGGAGGGGGGGCAGGGGGTGGAGCCACGGAGGTTTCGGAGGGAGTTCCCTAAAATCAAAGTACCCCTTACCCTCAACCCCCCAAACCCCACCCCCCCCCCCCCACCCCCATCCCCACCCCCCCCCCCCACCACCCCCATCCCCCCCCCCCTCCCCACCCCCATCCCCACCCCCATCCCCCCATCCCCACCCCCATCCCCACCCCACCCCCACCCCCATCCCCACCCCCATCCTCACCCCCATCCCCCCCCCCCCATCCCCACCCCCATCCCCACCCCCAAAAAAGCTGACCCTTGTGATAGGAATCTCTAGAAGAGGCTTAAGAGCCCAGTAACCAGACTATAATAAGCGCACACCTGTTTCGGGTGGGTTTCTTTATAACTTATAAGGGAACCCATAACCCCAAAATAAAGGGCAAAGGGTGCCACTGGGCACCCTAAACCCTAAACCCTAAACCCTAAACCCTAAAACCCTAAAACCCTAAAACCCTAAACCCTAAACCCTAAACCCTAAACCCTAAACCCTAAACCCTAAAGGCTAAACCAAAAGTAACCTAGGGAGCAAAGGGTGCCCTTTTTGGCTTAAAGGGCTTATAAGGGAACCTACACCCCAAGTCCCTAAGTAAATGGGGAAAGAGGGCCTACCCTGGGTCCTAGTGGCCCTAAACCCTAAACCCTAAACCCTAAACCCTAAACCCTAAAGCCTAAACCCTAAACCCTAAACCCTTTTAAAAAAATTAAAAAAAAAAAAAAAAAAACGAATAAGGGTCTACTCTGGGTCCTAGTACAAAAAAAGGCATTCCCCTTTTTCGAAAACCTCGGGGATACTTTGCGTAACTTCAAGACACTGATGGCTCCTTGCCGGTGGCTGAGGGTCTAGGGTTTAGGGTTTCAGGGGTGTAGGGTTCAGGGCATTTCTGGTCTCAGCAGATGGACCAGCAGCGAAATTCGGCGGACCTTGCCAGAAAATGGTACTTCCTCGCTGCGGTAAGCTACTCTAAGTTCCCTGACAGCCATGAACCAGTTCGTAGGCTCGTCTGCAGTCCCCTAAACCCTAAACCCTAAACCCTAAACCCTCAACCCTCAACCCTCAACCCTAAACCTAAACTAAGCCCTAAATCCTAAACCCCCTAAACCCCAAACCCCCTAAACCCTAAACCCTAAACCCTAAACCCTAAACCCTAAACCCTGAACCCTAACCCCTTAACGAGCCGAGTTGCCATGGTCTCGCCTCTCCGCAGTGGCCTGGTCGCAAGGGAAAAGGAGCTTAGGGTTTAGGGTTTAGGGTTTAGGGTTTAGGGTATAGGATTCCTTATTCATAGGAAGGGCAGATGTACCCAATAATTCAGGCACCATGCCCCTTTGTTACCGGGGAGCTCAGGGCTTGAGGCCTGCAACAGGTTGGCTTTCAACACTGTGGCTGCCTGAAACCTGAGGTTGGGCTTAGGGTTGAGGGTTTAGGGTTTAAGATTTAGGGTTTAGGGTTCGGGTTTAGGGATTACGGTTTAGGGCTTAGGGTTTAATAAGTTTGGGGCTCGGCGTCTTCCATGCTCGCTGAGCACCCGGAGTTCCAGACTCTTCAGCATCTTCACTTCACACTCTCAACTCCACCTAGCGTGGGTACCCGGAAGATCCCTAAGCCCTTAAGATCCGTAGACCTCATGATCCCCTTAAGCCCTGAACCCTAAACCCGCAGATTGTGGGGGGGTTTAGGGCTCAGGGCCCCCAAAAAAAGCCTTAAACCCAGAATCCCCAAACCCTAAGGATCCATGTACCTAGATAGCATATACTTGGGCCTTAGATGGGTTCCTACATAGTATCGCTAGGGGCACATGGGTCCTTAGGGAAAATGAGCCCTTCTCCTTCCTTGGCCCTCCGCTGTGTGCGCTCCAGGCCACCTTCGCATGTTGGGGTGTTAGGGTTTAGGGTTCAGGGTTTAGGGTTTGGAGGTCGAGGATTCCAGGATGGCCCTTGAAACCCTCTGCAAGTTTAGGGTTTAGGGTTTGGGGTTTAGGGAAAATATTCCGAATATGATCCTCTTAGAGCCAATAGGGGAACATACCAAATGTCATGGTGGGCTGAGGGTTCAGCCGGTCGAGAACTCGGAGCGCGGGCGCATATTGAAGGTTTAGGCTTAAGTTATTCAAGGTGTTTCGGGCTTATGGTGGTTAGCGGCTTTTTCGGTGTAACCTAAACGCCGTGAAGCACAGAATTTGCATCTCCACACATCCCTAAACCAACAAAAGGAACTCCAATCAGGGGTGGGCATGCTGTTGCTTGACAAGTCTTACACAAAGCACCACGCCATATGCTTCGCAGCACATCTATACTCCCCTTAGAACCTTATAAAAAAATATGTTTAATATCCTCTTGGGCTTTATATAAACATGTTTTAAAAAAAGGGGGATATAGACATAGCCCCCAAGCCCACACTGACAAGTGGAGGTCGAACACTGGAGCTTCGATTCTGAAGGCCGACACATCAACTTGACAAATCCTGAGAACCACAGGGTTTAGGGTTTAGGTTTAGGGTTTAATTAGGGTTTAGGGTTTACGAACTCAGTGGAGTTACATGGTCGCTTGGTATGGGCCCTTAAATGGGGACCCCCTATATACCCCGTATATACCCCATAATGTTCCACCTGTTTTGGCAGGGCCCCTCTGTAAAGTCGTAGTGGCTGGGCTATTCCGGACACCCTGACTGTTTGGGGGTGCGTGGTGGGATGCTGAATTAAGTCAAAACGACCGGGTGCCGTTTTAAAAGTCCACGCGGCGTGCCTTTAAACATAATTGCCAGCCATCACTGCCCTTTGAAACTCCGCCTTATAAAAGTCATATAAGCCCCTGTGTATACAGTGACAAAAACAGCTTCGACTGTTCTGGAGGGGGGGGGGGGGGGGCAGGCCCAACACTCAAAAAGTTGCAACATTACAACCCAAGGGCCCAAGGGCCTGCTCTGGGTCGTCGTTTGGGTTTAAAGGGTGGCTGGAGGTTTTCGCTCTTGAGGACTTGGGGGTTAAGCTTTTGGGCCTTCCTGATACCTAAGGACCTAAGGCAAGAAAGCTGGACGAATTCTAAAGCCCAAGCCCCTCCCCCCTCAATGACTTAACCCTAAACCAATACCCCACAGCTTATTTACAGGCGTTCTGTAAAGGATGAGAAAGGGATGGATGAGAAAGGAATCGTATTGGCATGTCTTCAGTGCGTGAAACCCAACCCCACAGTCCCTAACCCTGAACGCTAAACCCTGATTGGACCCTACCCTAAACCCTAAATCCTATACCCTAAATCCTATACCCTAAATCCTAAACCCTAAATCCTAAACCTTACATCCTAAACCCTTAACCCTAAATCCTAAACCCTAAATCCTAAACCCTAAATCCTACACCCTAAACCCCTCTAGGGTGCACCTGGCCCTCGGGCAGCAGCGGGCCAGAATGCGACACCCGCGGACTGCAAGGCTTAGGGTTTCAGGATTAAGGGTTTAGGGTTCGGGGTTTAGGGCTTAGGGTTTATGGTTTAGGGGTTTAGGGTTTAGGGTTTAGGGTTTAGGGTTTAGGGTTTAGGGGTCTAGGGTTCTAGGGTTTAGGGGTTTAGGGTTTAGGGTTTAGGGATGTTCCCTGAAACTAACAGTCCTTATTTGGGATTACAATAGGGGGTTACTCTAATCCCTAGTAAGGACTGTTAGTATAGGGGAGAACATCCCGAGGACTAGGGCTTTAGGCCCCTAGGGTTTATGACTTGGAAGCTTTGGGCTTTAGGCCTCTAGGGTTCAAGGACCTTTAAAGGTTTAGGGCTTTCGGCCTCTGCGGTCTTAGGATTTCAAGGGTTTAGGGTTTTTAAGGTTTAGGGTTTAGGGTTTAGGGTTTAGGGTTTAGGGTTTAGGGTTTAGGGTTTAGGGTTTAGGGTTTAGGGGGGGGGGGTTAAGCCTCTAATGCTTTTTGGGTTTCAGGCCGGGGTTGGGCTGAGGAGGGTGTCAGGTTGGAGCCTTTTCTAGCCTTCCGGGTTTAGGCGTCTCGGGGGTACGGTCCCGAAACTCTAAACCCTAAACCCCAAACCCTAAACCCTAAACCCTAAACCCCAAACCCTAAACCCTAAACCCTAGACCCCAAACCCTAAACCCTCAACCCTAAACAGGGACTAGGCATCGCCCCTTCTGAGAGCCTGTTTTTAGAGCCATACCGAGAATGCCGCGATAAGAAGCTTTGTGTAAGAAACCCAACGAAACTCCAACAAAGAAAAAGAAACAGGAAGGTTTAGGGTTATAGGGTTTAGGGTTTAGGGTTTGGGGTTTAGGGTTTAGGGCGTAGGCTTCCAGAATTAACCCTTAAAGGCTCAAAGCCGCTGGCGGGTACCACACGAGCTAGCAGTGCGTGTTTAAGTCCAAGCCACCATCAAACTCAAAGCAAGAACGCGTTTAGGGTCTGAACCCTAAAACCCTAAAACCCTAAACCCTAAAACCCTAAACCCTAAAACCCTAAACCCTAAAACCCTAAAACCCTAAAACCCTAAAACCCTAAAACCCTAAAACCCTAAAACCCTAAAACCCTAAAACCCTGAAACCCTGAAACCCTGAAACCCTAAACCCTAAACCCTAAACCCAAGAGTCGACACCCTGAAGGGCGAGATTGCCCAGTAGCCCAAGATTACAAAGGGTCCCCGCCCTTTCTTGCTTAGACAGGTATGTAGGGTTTAGGGTTTAGGGTTTAGGGTTTAGGGTTTAGGGTTTAGGGTTTAGGGTTTAGGGTATTGAATACGGTTGTGGGGGCCAGTATAGTATAATCATAAAGGGACCGAAAGGGAATACTACTAGTAATTATTCCGACCCCTATAATATTTACACGGGATCCAAGGCCAAAGACATGGGGAATAGCGGCACTACTGAGAACCCTCGAGGGTTTATAGGTTGGGCTGCAAGCCGACAGGACAGCTTGAGCTGAGGATGTGTAGGATGGCAGGGTTTAGGGTTTAGGGTTTAGGGTTTAGGGTTTAGGGTTTAGGGTTTAGGGTTTAGGGTTTAGGGTTTAGGGTTTAGGGTTTAGGGTTTAGGGTTTAGGGTTTAGGGTCATTCCTGAGCTCAGCCTGCATCCTGACCTACTATTTGCTTAAGATTCCCCCCCAAAAAGACATAGCAAAATCATCCTGGCCCTTAGACTAGAAGGAAATACTTCGTTGGTTTGTTTGAGGGTTTAGGGTTTAGGGTTTAGGCTTTAGGGTTTAGTTTTCTTAAGCAAACAGTAGTGACTAGGGTTTAGGGCTTGGCGTCTGTTTGTTAAGCTGTACATGCACACGTAAAGACAAACGTGTTCAAACCATCCAGAAGAAAATGGCCCGTGAAGCTTAACTTGAATTCCATTCTTCTCAAAACTCCAAAGCCAACCCCGCCATCAACTCCACGTTCCCACACACACAAACTCCGCACAAGCGTAGACAGGACATGAAAAACATGGGCAATCTTCACGGGCCTCCGAAACGTTATTCATCCTGCGCGTGGCCTAAGCTCTAACCCTAAACAAGCCCTTGCAGCCTCAGATCCTCTTCAATCATCCAGCACAAGTCGTCTTTGTGATGGTCCGTTCCGAGCACCGTAGCCCACGGCAGGCTGTACATTCGATTGTACTTTGTAGCGGCAAACACGTGGGTGTAGTAGATTCAATGCTGTATTAGGCTTCGAGGTATGAGCGGCAAGCTAGTCACGGCAAGTTTCTGCTTGGTCTTGGAACCCAATACTGATTCCCAACCAGACTTGGGGGAATGCCTAAACCCTAAACCCTAAACCCTAAACCCTAAACCCTAAGCCCAAAAGCGGGTGCCAGAGAGTGGAGGCATGTGGGGGCTTCCGAAAAAGACGACTACATCCAAACGGCACATTTGGGGCCGCGCGGCCGATGTTTGCATGCTAGGAGACATTGGTTAGGCCCAGGGTTTATAGTTGACCAAGAGTCCATCTACCCATATTGAGTGGTGCTTTAAAGCCCAGTTAAAATGATTTTCGAATAGGTTCCCTTAAAAGGGAAAGAAGGGAGATTTAAAATTATCCCCAATGCACTACCCAGTATACAGTACATAATTGGACCCTAAAGCTATTACATAGGAACCCCTTTGAGGCCCAAGTATACACGAGATGGGTACATGGACCCTCAGGGACAGGTGGTGCGCCTCTGATGTGACAAAGGCTGCAACCTTGGAACATTCAACCATGTACTCCCAGAGAGCCCAATACCCCTTAATTAAGGAATTTACCTTAAATCATGATGAGGATCCCTTGTTTTAAAAATTAAGGTATAGTTCCTTAGTTAAGGGGTATTGGGCTCTCTGGGCCCTACCCCAGACCAGCCAGTTTCATCATGTATTTGACAAGGCTGTCAGCACAAGCGGTAAGACGCGGTCTTGCCCACTTTGCGCAGTGAGCTGAAATTGGCCAGGCGTACGCATTTGTTGCAGCCTGACCCGCAAAACTGTAATTGTATTTGGGTTCGAAGACCCGTTTTGAGCGATGACGACGCCGCTTTAAATTGGAATCCCAAAGGATCCATGTACCTAGATAGTATATACTTGGGCCTTAAAGGGGTTCCTATATAGTAGCTTTAGGGCCCAAGTATATACTATACAGGTACATGGATCCTTTGGGAATGGGAGTTTGGGGCCGCTTGTGTTCTATGTAATGATTGTAAGGGGAGAAAGGTAAATGAATAGCTCCTCTTGTCATGCGGCTAGCGACATGAACTTGCTTCGAGGCTGTTGGAGACCAGGATATGATTTCCTCACAAGGGTCTCGGCTAATACCTAGCTGTAAGAAAGCCCCTGCCGAGAGGAACTACCAATCTTCGGAAAACCACATGTGCCTCAAAACAATCGGTCGACCCGTCGTCAAAATCAATCAGAAGATTCTCAGCATCTGCACTTTGTGCAAAGCGTCTGGACAGGGTCCAAGGGTTTGACGGCATAAGGATTTCAAGTCCTTTCCTTGAGGGTCCACTGCCGAAGCACTGTGGCTTGAGGTAACACACCCTCGCTGTCATGGCCCAATTACCCCCCAGCTGGCCTAGAAACAGCAACACTATTCTAGTCTTCAGTGGGACCAAGTGCATGGATCTTGTACGCAGGAATAACGGTAAGGGGGGCTCCAAACCCTAAACCCTAAACCTTAAACCCTACACCCTAAACCCTAAACCCCACACCCCAAAGCCTAAAACCTTCTAGTTTGGGCTGGGTTATGGGACTGCGAGCTTCCCTCTGCGAGGAGTTCCGAGGACCCCTTCCATCTACGTGTGTGCGCAGCGATTCTGCGCAGCTGTTCTTTCACTGAGTGGTGCTTTAAAGTGCTTTGAAAGTTGTTCATGAATAGGTTGCCTTGAAAGAAGGGAAGTTTAAAATGATCCCAAAGCACTACCCAGTTCAGTGTTGAAGAGAAACGAAGCCTCCTTGGGCCTACCCAATGTATTCTTGCATCAAGCCTGTGCAGAGTTTCTCTCGAATCCCTATATAGTTGTACTATGAGAACACACCCCCCCCCCCCAAAAAAAAAAAAAAAAAAAAAACTATCAAATCCTTGAGGCCCCCATATATTATCACTTTTGGAAGGGCCCCTGGCTGAAGATGTCACACGCCAGCGAGAAGGATGCGAGCTGCGGCGTCGACTCCGATGCCTCTGCCGGATCCTCGACGGGACGATCTTTTAGGGTTTAGGGTTTAGGGTCTAGGGTCTAGGGTTTAGGGTTTCACCTCCATCATCGCACTCCTACTCCCCACATGCCCTCGAGCCGCCGCCGAAAGTCTTCACTCTCGCCCTAATCTCCCCGAACCCTGAACCCCAAACCCCGAACCCAAAACAGTTCCAACTGAGGGGGCTTCCACATCGTTCCCTTTCGGGTTGTATACTACCCCCCAAAAAGTGGTTAGGGTTTAGGGTTTAGGGTTTAGGGTAGTACATAGGGAGCCTTCAAGAAAGGCTATGCAAACTCCACAACCAAGGGTCGTCGAGGTCCCGTGGTATTCTCTGCAAGTGCTCTTCCTGAGAGCTCCACCAAAGCGCTGGTCCTTGGATGGGCTCTAAAGGGTTTAGGGTTTAGGGTTTAGGGTTTAGGGTTTAGGGTTTAGGGGAACAACAAAGACACGCCGAACTCAAATGGAAATAGCGGTTTAGAGGTTAGGGTGGCTTTGGGGACTTGCTACTAAGATTTCGTGCAATACCAGTCTCACCAGTCCATTATCACGAGCAGCTGTGTGCTGCTCACTATCATGGCTGGTACTGCCATCTCAAACCCCCGAACCCTCAACGCAAATCATGAGTGCAAGAGTCCATGGCGCTTGGATCTTGCTCGCTTGAGCTTGTCTCTACCAGTCACCAGCCCAGACAAGGAAGGCATGTCTGTCTCTTCCCTTGATGGCCGACTCTCCTGCTCAGGGTAGTTCCATGGTCCCTTTGCTTGGGCCCTTGAAAGGGGACCCCTTCTATGATATACCCTATACCAATTAAGGGCCCGTACTTCAGAACCCTTGAAGGGAGGCTAGGGACCATCTTGAGGGCCCATGAAACTACCCTCAGACTCCTCCGGTGTCCGCACGACGATGGTGTACGTCTCTGCGGCTCCTTGTGAACCCTCATCGATGGAGTCGATGTCTGAGTCCTGAGTTGTGGGGCATGCTGCCGGGATTTTGCAAAGGGGCAACCCTTCAACCGCACCCACAATTCACAGCCAGTGTTACTGTGCAGTGTGCCTCCAAGCCGCAGCGTCTGAGAGAGGGCCGGAAAGTGCGCCGCACATCTCCGTTGACAACTCCGTTGGCATCTCCGTTGTTCCTTGCGAGCCTTCATCATCCGACACTGGCCCGAGCAAACAGTGTGGATACCTGGTGCCGCAGCCTGCAGGCGCACCTGCAGTCTCAAATCGCCTGCCCCGCCCGGGTGCAGGCGCGCGCGGGCGCTGGCCAAGGGGTCTCCGAGGGACGTGCATGGCACTACCAGCTAACTTCTGGCTTCACCTCCCTGGCTGAAAACCTCAATAGGGGACGTTGCAGCGTTTGTTGAGATCTGACCGTCAAGTAGGGAAAGGGTGCGGCCTTTGACCACCGATTAGCTTATACAACCCTTTCAGAGAATTCGCTACTCAGACCAGTGAGTCTAAAGTTCTAACCCAAACTCCAAACCCTCTAAACTTCCCTACATCCTTATAACCCTATGACCCCCCATTACCCAGATCTCTATAACCCTAAACACTAAACCTATTTTAACCTTGCAACCCTATAACCCTAAAATCCTAAGCTCTATAACCTATAACCCATATCCCTATAACCCTGCCTAAAACCTATAACTCTATCATAGCCCTATAGGACTGTATCACTAGAACCCCCGAAGTAAACCCTAAACTCGAAGCCCGTGAGCCCCAGCGGTCCAAAAGCGTGACGCCCCAAATCCTGAAGGGTTTAAACCCTAAACCCTAAACCCTACACCCTAAACCCTACACCCTAAACCCTAAACCCTAAACCCTACACCCTAAACCCCAAACCCTAAACCCTCAAAGCCGGTAAAGCCCTAAAGCCTAAAGCCTCCAAAGGGGCTTTACGACAATAAGGGACCCGTAATATAGACACCCATAAAAGAGGATCCCCTGTTAATAAGGACCCCAATACCAGGTGCCCTCAACTTCGGAAACCCTACACCCTAAACCCTAAAACCCTAAATCCAGAAACCCCTGGCTACATATGGGGTGTAAACCCTCAAATGTCCTGAGCTGCCAGCTGGGATAGCTACGCGCCAGCAGGTGACCAGCACAAGGCCACCTGAGCCCGAAAATCAACTCCTACGCCTACTAGGTTTAGGGTCTTAGGGTTTAGGCTGTAGGGCCTGAGAACTTAGGAATTTTATACTTGCGCGATCCACTTTCTGCACATCCTAAAGCCTCCTACAGCTCGTGGCAAACCCTAAACCCTAAACTCTAAACCCTAAACCCTAAACCCTAAACCCACGCAGGCACGATCTTGTGCTCGCGCTGCGTCGGTCGTAGTGCAAACGGTGCCCGAAACACCCTAAACCCTAAACCCTAAACCCGAATCCCTAACCCTAAACTCAACCTCAAATCTCACACCCTAAAGCCTGAAGCAGCTATCCCGAGTCAAGTCGACACATCCCTAGCCAGGATTCTGTTTTCGCAACGCCTCAATCTTACGATAGCTACATGGTCGCTTAAACCGGGCACTTGAAAGGGGACCCCTTAATACCCCATACATGCCCTCTGCAACCCAAGGGCCAATACATCAGAACCTTTGAAGAAGCTAAGGGACCATATTCAGGCACCATGTAACTACCCTAAGACTGAGCCCCAAAGCCATGAAAGGGAATTGGGATGTTTTCGCTTTGGCGAAACAGACTTTGGTTAGCAAGATAGTGAGCTAGCGAGGCTGTTGGTAACACAAGCGCGCACGAGCGTTGAAGTGTACGAATCTTGTGCATTTGCGATTCTCGACAGTGTTGACCCTTTCGTGAACCCTAAACCCTAAACCCTAAACCCTAACCCCTAAACCCTAAATCCTACATACAAGGCTTATAGTCGGAAAGCAAGAGGAACCATACCTTAGGGCGCAGAAGCTGGGCTGAGTTCTCTGCTCCCAAGCCTGAGCACGAGAGACCTCGCCGAAATCAACAAGGGTTCAGGGTTTAGGGTTTAGGGTTTAGGATTTTGGGTCAGCCTAAACATTAAGCACTGAAAACCTCAAGCCTAGACCCTGTAAAGCCCTGCAAGCCCCAAACTTCATACCTTCATCAACAGCCAAACCCTAAACCCTAAACCCTAAACCCTAAACCCTAAACTCTGCAAAAGAAGCCACATCGGGACATGAACCCTCAACCCTGACGGGAGGGGATCCTTTCCACAAGCCTTAGGGTAGTTGCAAGGGCTTGGCATGGGCCCTTAATTGGGGAGCCCTACAGGCTTAGGGTTTAGGGTTTAGGGTTTAGGGTTTAGGGTTTAGGGTTTAGGGTTTAGGGTTTATACACCGTCTACAGCCCATGGGCCCCAGACTCCAGAGAACCACTTTAAAATTTAGGGTTTCGGGTTTGGGGGTGAGGGGCCATGCAACTGCCCGTTTAACGAATAAGGCCAGGTTCCGCAGCAACCTAGCAGATGAAACGGTGCCTTTTTGGTTGATTGCCCAGAAAAAAACGGAACTCGGGTACCAGCGTCCTAGACAGTCCATTGCATCCCCTAATCTCTCTAGCCTCAGCCCAAACAAGTGACCTCTGCAACCGACCCTCTCAGCACTGAATCCTCAACCCGTACATAATCCCTCGCCCCTACGACCCCAACCCACCCCCCCCCCCCCAAGACTGAGAGCCACACCAGAGAAGAGAAGCCCTAAAGCCTAAACCCTAAACCCCTAAACCCCTAAACCCCTAAACCCTAAACCCCTAAACCCCTAAATCCTAAACCCTAAACCCTGAACCCTAAACCCTAAATGCCAGGTTGAGGGAGGCTCAAAGAGGCCCTCTACAATGCCCTATAGACACCCTGTTGCGAGATTTTGGGGTTTCCGAAGTTAGGGGGAGGGGAAGGGGGGAGGGGGGGGGTCCTTATTGTAAGGGTTTAGGGTTTAGGGTTTCCGAAGTCGAGGGTGCCTTCTTGGGGGCCTTATTACAAGGGAATCCTTCTGTTTGGAGGTCCAAATTTGGGGTCCCTTACTTTCGTAAACCCCCATTTAGGGTTTCCGGAGTTGGAGCCTTAGGGTTAAGGGCCAAAAAGCCCAATGCTCCGTTTCCTGCGGAAGAGAACCGTGTCGGGATCCTGTAAGGTTTAGGGTTTAGGGTTTGGGGTTTGGAAGGTTTAGGGATTCCTTAATTGAGAGGGTGCTGGGCTCTCAGCGAGAACGATTTAGGGATGTAGGTTTGGAGTTGGGTGTTCAGGGGTTAGGGATGTGGGGGTTGGCTATTTAGGGCTTGGCGAGTTTTGGCTTGGGGTCTGGCAATCTCGGGCTAAACCCGAAACCCTAAACCAAGAACCCTAACCCGAAGCCCTAAACCGTTCAGGCTTCAGGCTACGCCTCCACATCTCAGGTCAGGGCTCTTGCGTTCTTTGGGGTTTTTGGGCTTTCGAGGTTGGGGCTTCGCTCCACCCAACAAAACAGTTTGGAACTCCAGGATACGTCGGAAGTCAATTTGACATTTCCCAACCCTCAACGGCCCCCAACCCACTTTGGACAAGGAATATACCCTAAATCGAAATGGCTAAAGATCCATAAACATGAAGGTATATACTTCATGCAGGGCTTGGTAGCCCAGGAACCACATTACAATAAGGGCACGCCTTTTGGGGCTAGTTACTTTATCAGGGAACCTAGAAACCAACGAAGGGAAAAGGGTACAACTGGGCTACCAAGAAAGGATATTGGGCTCTCTGAGTGGGCATGCCTCAAGAACACCTTGCCCATCACGAACAACAGAGCTAAGGAAAATCAGGGTTTGTTTCGTTTATGGCTTTTGGGGTTCAGGGCTGGGGTTTAGGGTTTAGGGTTTAGGGTTTAGGGTTTAGGGTTTAGGGTTTAGGGTTTAGGGTTTAGGGTTTAGGGTTTAGGGTTTAGGGTTTAGGGTTTAGGGTTTAGGGTTTAGGGTTTAGGGTTTAGGGTTTAGGGTTAGGTTCAGGTTTAGGGTAGGGTTAGGGTTTAGGGTTTTTAGGGTTTAGGGTTTAGGGTTTAGGGTTTAGGGTTAGGTTTAGGGTTTAGGGTTTAGGGTTTAGGGTTTAGGGTTTAGGGTTTAGGGTTTAGGGTTTAGGGTTTAGGGTTTAGGGTTTAGGGTTTAGGGTTTAGGGTTTAGGGTTTAGGGTTTAGGGTTTAGGGTTTAGGGTTTAGGGTTTAGGGTTTAGGGTTTAGGGTTTAGGGTTTAGGGTTTAGGATTAGAGTTGTGCGGCGGCCTGCGGATGGACCTCGCCGAAGCTTGGCCATGTCCATGACCGGAGCGGAGACCCATGGGAACCGGGGGCTATATACGCATATACACACATACAGAATTGCAAACTGAATGTGGATGTAGGGTTTAGGGTTTACTGCAGGGTTTAGAGTTCAGGGTTCAGGGTTTTGGTATGTATAAAGCTACTTCCATGATATCATGCACCTATCCAGTCAGCTGCGAGTGGATTTCGTATCCTAAATACAAGATATCTGTCACACACGCACACACTCACACCCAAAGCCCAAAAAATCCGCGTTGCACATTTAGGGCTACACATTTAGGGCTGTGGACTCAGGCTCCCAGGATTCGTAGCAGATCGGGTAATATAGGGGCCGGAATAATTACTAATGGTATTCCCTTATTTGTGGTCCCTATATATCACCCTTAAAACCCCTCAACCCCACACTCCACAGCCCCAAGACCTGAGCCCTAAACCCTAAACGCCCCAAGCCCCAAAATCCCGAGATGTGCCTGGGCTGTCTGATTATTAAGAGGCCTACCCAGTCACCGCAGCCCTAAACCCTAAACCCTAATCTCTTTGATTTGCTTGAGAACCCCCCTCCCCCCCCCCCCACAAAAATGATCAAAGCCTTCTTTATAGAGGCAATAGAGGGATGATCATTTTGTGAGAGAGGAGGGCTCCCTGCTGGGAGGAGATTTGCCCGGGTTTCACTTGCTGGTTCGTCAATTCGGCGAGTTGAGAATGTTGGAACTTGGGGCTAAACCCTAAGCCCTAAACCCCAACCCTAAACCCTAAACCCTAAACCCTGAACGCTAAACCCTAAACCCTACACCCTAAACCCTAACTCTGACCCAGAACCAGTACATGAAGGGAAAGCAAATGATGGGGGTCTCGAGATGCTTCCTGTTTAGCCCCCCGGGTTCTTAGGGATTAGGCCCCCCATATATCCCCTTATTAAGGGGATCATGTAAAGGCTTAGGATGTATCCAGGGTTCCCATTCCCTACTACGAACCAGCCAGTGGGGCAGAAGTGTTCGAAGTGGGAGCTACCAAAAACTTTTATTTAGGGGTCAAAAGGGCTCGGGCACAGTAGGGCTTTTAAGGTGTGGGGTTTCCTAAGTTCCTAAGTTCATCTAACAGTCCCATCCTATGGATTTCAAGCTGGAGCTTAGGGCCTTCGCATAAGACCTTATGGTAACGATCGAGACATTGCATTCTATGCATTAAAGCTCTGATGTACCTTTTTGGCTTAGTAGGGGATTCCCAAAATCTGCTGCCCTGGCTGTGAGGCTGAAGATCTTTTTGGCTCAAAGGACTTCGCGCCCAGGGCATCTTCGCGAGCCGGCCAGCCGCCATGATGAGCCCTCGTCGGGTTCTCTCCGTGCTTGCGTGCCTCCCGACTTCGAGATGGGTGTTCCACCAGCCTCCTCCCCGCCTTGCAGAAGGACGTGGACGTCGCGTTCACATGACCCCTGCCTCACCAAGGCCCAAGCTTCTTGGGTGGCTCGGGTTGCTGGCGACTGGACCGATGCCTCTTTCTCCGGGAGTCAGAGGGGCCTCTGGCGGCCTCAGAGCTCTGTGTGGGACATGAACTCTGCAACAGCGGCGCGAACAGCCTCAAGGGCTGCCTCCATGCTTTCCAAGGCGATCTCCTGGCTTGCAATGCCGCGGCTGTCCGGCACGAGTGGCAGCCTCGGGGAACAGCCGCCAGAGTTACAAGAGGGCTGCGCTGGGTTCTGTTGGTTTCAGAGCCCACTTGGAGGTGCGGGGTACTTCTATAGCCATTTCTGACTGTACTTGTATAACCCCCACGCTTATCAGCCCCTTAAAGTCGAACGCCCCAAAAAAAACCGAGAGAAAGGGCGCCATTGGGCTGCCCAGCGGCAATGTCATCCGCAAGTTGAACATCTTCGCCAGGAAGCGGTAGTGGCCCGCAAAGGGCGACTGAAAGCCCAGCTCAAAGATCGCCGCGTCCTCGGGGCAGAAGATGATGTTGGCCAACGCACCGCCTTGGGTCTCCAAACATCCCCCGAAAAGGAAAAGGAACACACATAAGAGGCTTGCAGTGCAAGTACTAGAGCCCTAAAGCCCTAAAGCCCTAAAGCCCTAAAGCCCTAAAGCCCTAAAGCCCTAAAGCCCTAAAGCCCTAAAGCCCTAAAGCCCTAAAGCCCTAAAGCCCTAAAGCCCTAAAGCCTAAAGCCTAAAGCCTAAAGCCGAAAGCCTAAAACCCACAGGCTAGGTGAGCTGCCATGGGCTCCCACAACGACGCGCGCACTGGCAAAGAGCTGCGCAGTGCCCTTCGGCTTAGCGCTGCCGTCGAAGACCTCGTGCCAGGTAATTGCGCGAACCGGGGTTTAGGGTTTAGGGTTTAGGGTTTAGGGTTTAGGCTTTAGGGTTTAGGGTTTAGGGTTTAGGGCTTAGGGTTTAGGGGTTTATAGGGTTTAGGTGGCTTAGGGTTTTAGGGTTAGGGGGTCTAAGGCTTCATCGGGCTTATCGGGTTCCCGTTGTGGGCGGGGTTCTACGGGGTTTAGGATTTGGGGCTTCATCCGGCTTACAGTGTTCAGGGTTTGGGGGTTTGCGGGCTTCTCGGGCTAAGGGTTCGCCGAAGGACCCATGTACCTATCTATGTATATATATATATATATATATATATACATACATACATATAATTGCATACATATATATATATATACATGTGTATATATATATATATATGTCTACTTGGGTCTTAAGCGGTTCGTAAATGAGCTTTAGGGCCCAGGTATATACTAAAAAGGTAATTGGATCCTTAGGGTTCAGGGTTGCGGGTTGGACCTCAGGTTCAGAGATCTCGGGCTTTTTGGGGGTTGTCCTGCAAAGACCGAGCTGCACAATGACGACGGACGACACCCAAAGAGCAGACCCATGTAATCAAGTAAGGAACACGTCCTGCAAAAATCATGTATCTCTACAATGTTCACGGCACGGGCAACAATCGGCCCGAAATCCTAAACCCTCTAAACTCCAATACCTGCTTCCGAAACCCCAGACCCCGAACACCGATCCTGCTCCTGGCTTGCCCAATATCCCCCTAAGTAAACACCATGCCTTTTAAAAACTTAAAGCCGTATCAAGGACCACCACATAACTTCAGGTATATTCCTGAACTGCAATTAAGGACTTCGTATGCCTTGAATCATACCAAGGATTCATCCCTAAACCCTAAACCCTAAACCAGAAAACCCAAAACCCAAAACTTAAAACCCTAAACCCTAAACCCTAAACCCTAAACCCTAAACCTTCTCAAGAGTTTAAACAGGCGCACTGGGCTTTCTGGGCTGTGCCTCGTATCGCAGCTTCGGCCCGGTGAGATGCTTGAGCTGCCCGGCGAACCCGGACTCCTGGGTTTAGGGTTTAGGGTTTAGGGTTTAGGGTTTAGGGTTTAGGGTTTAGGGTTTAGTGTTTAGGGTTTAGGGCTAAGGGTTGAGGGTTTAGGGCTAAGGGCTTAGGGCCTATAGGGACTATTGGGCCCAAGGATGGCTTGGAAGACGTGTGGGGGTTGAGGTTTGAGGTTCAATGCGTATAGGGTACTGGGTGCGATGTTCCCCCTTATACTCACAGTCCTGAATAGGGATTGTAGTATCCCCGATTATAATCCCTATGAAGGACTGTTAGTATAAGGGAGAACATCACAAGTTGTCGGGTGCAATGGCTCTTGTAAGATCAGGCTGCTGTTTGATTCTCATGGTGAGCTTCATGGAAAAAGCCGGCTTGCACTGCTGAAAAGATGCCCAAAGCTCAGCTTGGTGTGTGTGTGTGTGTCACCATGAAGAAGCACGATGTGGAAGGGCTCAACTAACTAAAGTCGCCAGACCCGACAAGCCCTTAACTCAATGTCTGGGCATTCGGGTTGGGGATTAACGAGATTCGTCTCGAGTGTGGAAGGCAGGGGGCAGGGGGGTTTAGGGTTTAAGGTTTAGGGTTTAGGGTTCAGGGTTTAGAAAGGCCCGACGAGGTCAGCTGGCCAGGAGGACCCGAAAAAGGAGCCCAAGGCCCCTCAATGAAGGCATATGCCTTAAGTCATGCTCAGGATCCCTACATGAAATTTTGGGGTATATTCCTTAACTAAGGCGTACTTGGGGACCATCTGAACCCTTGTGCAAGTTTAGGTCTTTTTTGTGATTCAAAGAGCTTCGGGATCAGCGACATGCCGTGACAGTGTCGACCTGCTACCAAGTGCGTATTTCGTTCGATATCCATCCCCTATAAAACCTTAAACCTACACCCTAAACCCTGTGTTGAATTTCAGGGGGCCTTGTTGGTTAGGGGGCTGGGAGACCCCCACCGGGTTTTGGTTCGGCTTTGAGGCCCCTAAGCCCCTAATCCCTAAACCCTAAACTCCAAAATGCCAACATGGCAGGAGTCGTTTCGCAGAAGGCTTCGCATGTCGCCCTTCTTCCGCTTGATGAAGACCAGCCTCTTTGGCTGGCTCCGCCCAGGTTTTACCTACTTGGAGGTTCATGGTACTTATGAACCAGTTATAACTGTACTTAGAACCCACTTATAAGCCCCTTAAGTGGAAGTTCCTTTTGGTGTCCCGGTTTTTTTGTGAGCAGAAGCAAAACAGAAACTTGGGCACCCAACAAAAGGGCAGGGCGGTATCATTGGGGGTCCAGGTCGGGGATGGGATTTCGGAGGGTTAGGGCTTTCGACTTAGGGTTGAGGGTTCTTCGCTTAGGTTGGGATTAGGATAATTACCCATCAAACACATCACATAACATATGTACATAACTATCTATATCTCTACCTTCAGCAACCAAAACCCCCCAAAAAAAGGTTCTACTTCAAAACCAGGTTCTGGAAACAAAAACCGGGTTTTGTAGGGCCAAATGAAAGCCGACGGTTTGTTATGGGTTTTCGACGGCTTTTTTCGGGTTTTCCGACGGGTATTTACGGGTTCTATACGTCACATTTTGAAAGAACCCGGTTCTGTTAGTCAAAACCAGGTTTTTGACAAAATCTTCCGGAAAACCTTGTTTGGGTTCCAAACCCACTTTTTTCAGGGTTTTGGGCGCCCAAGGTATCTATACATAAATATGTAGATGTACATATAACATATCGACGTATACGTATAATGCATCCCCCAAAATAGCAGCCACAGATGTTTCGTCCTACGCCTCACGGATCCTGCCTGAAATCGGAGGCCCTGATGCCTGATCATTTAGCTCTTACGATGCACAAACCCCACTCCCAAACCTAGAAGGGTTTAGGGTTTAGGGTTTAGGGTTTAGGGTTTAGGCAAAGGAACGACCATCATGGCCCTTCTTCAAAGTGGAGCCTGAATCCCAACAAGCCACCCTGCGCCGTGCAGGTATCCCCCTCCCCCCCCATGGTATCCCCCCCCCAAACCCTGCCTGTTAACCCTCAAAACACCGCGGACCAGGGGGGGGGGGAAGGAGAAGCCTCAGCCTAAACCCCAAACCCTGAACCTAAACTTAAACCCACCAATGAACGAGGAGGGAGAAGGGTAAACCCGAAACCTTTGCTGCTTTAACCCTGAACCCTGAACCGTAAACCCAGCACGAACCACAGGGGGGAGAGGGGAAACGGTAAACCTACCATTACCCCAAACCTTGAACCCTAATCAAACTCTAAACCCATCCTGACCCCTACAGCCTAACCCTAAACCCCTAAACCTAAACCCATGAACCACACCAGGAGGGCGGGCGCATATATACCCTGCAGCAAACCCTACAAACCTGACCACCCCATAGCCCTCCAGCCCTACCAAAGCCCCTAAAACCCACAAAAAACAACCAACCTCAACAAAAACCTTCTAGAACATCTAAACCCTCAAAGCCCTCAAAAAACCCTCAAAAATTCCTCAAAAAAACCCTCAACAATCCCTCAAAAAACCCTCAAAAATCCCTCAACAAACCCTCCAAAAAACCCTCAACAAAAACCCTCAAAAAACCCTGTCACTAACCCCCACCAAAAACCCTCGAAGCCCTCAAGCCCAGCGGCGATCGCGCGGCCGGTTGCCGCGCGGCCAAGGGCGCCAAGGCGCCGCGGAGGCCGAGGAGGACCGGCCCCGAAGTGGGGCAGTGGCCGCCCTCCTCGGCTTTGTATACTTGGAGGGTTTAGGGTTTAGGGTTTAGGGTTTGGGGTTTAGGGTTTCGGGTTTAGGGTTCAGGGTTTAGGGTTTAGGGGTTCATGGTACTTCTTAAGCTGTACTTATAGACTGTACTTCTAACCATCTAAGAGGCTTATAAGTGGGTTGTAAGTACAGTTAGTGAACCTCCAAGCACGGCTTCTATTTGCAGGTTTTGTAGGGCTCCAGAGTACCTTTCAGGGTCTAGTGGAACTTCGACTCACAAACCCACAAACGGGAGCTAGTATGGAACCTTCCCAGAGTGCCCACTACCCCTTCGTTGAGGAGTATGACTTAAACTATACAGAGATCCTTATTATGATTTAAGGAATGCTCCTTCATCAAGGGGTATTGGGCTCTTTGCCTTCAGATGCACCCTGTAAACTCAAAAAACTCTAATCCCTAAACCCTAAACCCTAAAGCCTGAACCCTATTGGAAGGGTTTAGGGTTTAGGGTTTAGGGTTTAGGGTTTAGGGTTTGTCCGAATCCTCAGGGCAATGTGAAGACGAAGCAGTTTGTTGTAGGCAAGTGGCTTGAGTTTAGGCATAAACCCTAAAAGGAATAGGTTAGGGTGTTTTTGCCGCCTGAGACGGCGTGGGGTGGGATAAAAGTGCTAGATGGCCTTCCACTAGATTCTCTTCGCGATGCTTTTCGAACCTACTCCCAACCTTGACAGCTTCTGCGCCTTATCACGGCAAACCCTAAACCCTAAACGGCCCTCAAATCTACTCGGCCTTAAACTCTAAACCCCTACTTGGAGTAGACCCTGGAAAAAAGTACATACTTTTAAGGTATAAGTAGCTAGAATAGGAACCCGGAACCAAACAAAGCACTAAACTACAGTACTCCAGAAACCAGAAACCCTACTTGGAAGTTCATGGGTACTTATAACCATAGCTATACGTCTACTTATAGCCTACTTAGGGAACTTAGGGGGCTTATATAAGTACAGTACATTTATAGTTCGGGTTCTATGTACCCTGAACCTCTAAGTAGACCCTCGACCCCGGACCCGCCTGGCCAAACTCCACTGGCGGCCTCCAGTTCGCGAAGACCAGGGTGTCGGCCTGAAGTATGCAATCAAGGGTCTGAGGGTTTGGGGCTTAGGGCTTGGGGTTTAGAGTTCAGGGTTTGGGGGAGGTTTAGGGCTTAGGGTTTAGGGGTTTAGGGTTTAGGGTTGAAAGCTGAAAGGATTAAGGCTGTACTGAGTCTGGCGACTACTGCCTGACAACGGCCTCTAGGCTTTGATTTCATTGGCATTGTCGAGGAATCATGAGAGGGATCCACGTCTCCACTCAGGCACCAGTATGCAGGTCAGATAAGATGGGGTCCGGGGGGTAGGTTACTTTGGTTTCATGTCATGATGGTGCTGCTCCCGAAAGCCTAAACCCTAAATCAGGCTGCCAAACAACACTGAGCCCCAAAACACTCCTTACACTGACCCTACTACACGTAATCCCCCTCCCCCGCTCCCCCGCCTAAACCCTGTGTATATGTATATAGATATATATGTATGTACATATATACATATATATATATACAGATACATATATATATATATGTATATATATATATATGTATACATAAGATGTCAAAGGCCTAAACCCTGAAACGAAGAAATAGGGGAGAACAAAAACAAAATAAATAAGCAATCATCACATAAATACATAAATGGACAAATGGAAAACAAATGGATACATAAATACACCAATAACACTATATACATTTCTCACTGTGTACATGCATACCCAAAGTCCAACCATCAAACTGAGGCCAGGCGACTCTGAGTCGAACGTCATTGGGCCCCGAGGTCCAGTGGATCATCCTGCTGCCTGCAACTGCTCTTTTTTGAAGCAGCCACGTCGAAAGGTCAGAGGGCAATGCTTCTTTTATAAGATAGACCACAGAAATATATATATATATACATATATATGTATATATAAATATATATACGTAGATATGCTTTCGTTTTTTGGCTTATCTGTGCTGTTTACGTCCTTTCTGCAAGGGGTTTTAGGCTTGAACAGAAGTATGCTTTGTGTGCGCCGTGTGTCTGTGGAGCGGCTGCGCGTTCGGCCTGGGCTTACGCGCCTTCCGGTCCGCCTTCTCTGCCTTTGGAACTCGATCCAGCTTTGCTAAAGTGATTCTTGAAGGGGTTGTGGGTGTGTTTGCTGCTGTTCTCGTCGTCGTCGTTGCCGTCGCTGATGTCATGTGTGGTCGTTGATTCATGTCGTTGTAATGTCGTTGTGGGCGTTGTCGTTGTGGTCGTTGTCGTTGTTGACGCTGTCGTTGTCGTTGTCGTCGTCGTCGCTCCGTCGCCATCGCTGTCTCGTTGTTGCTGTTGCTGTAATGGTCATTGTTGCTGTGAACTCTTGCTGGTTTTGGGAACCCTTTGCAAGGGGGTTTTGGTGTTTCTTATTGTAGGATTGAAGAGGTTTTAGGCTCTTAGCTTGTTTTAAGAGTTGCTTGGGTGTCTACTGTGTCTTGCTTGGGTTCTTGATATATAACCTGCCTAGAAAAAGCAATATGAAGCTAACCCTAAACCCTAAACCCTAGACAAACTGCTCAACAGAAAGGTCAAGCTGCTGGGCAGGGAGAGCCTCGGCCGATCTGGGGGCTTAGGCATCTTCTTAGAGATCTGAGGGCTCAGGGTTTAGGGTTTAGGGTTTAGGGCTAGAGATGTGAGGGCTCAGGGTTCAGGGTTCAGGATTCAGGGTGTAGGGTTTAGTATAGGGTTTAGGGTTTAGGGTTTAGGGTTTAGGGCTACAGATCTGAGGGCTCAGGGTTCAGGGCTTAGGGTAGGTTTGGGGGCCTCCATAAAAAAAAAAAAACATATGGCTCAATAAGGATTATATATAGGGGGAACGGGGCTAGTACAAAATGTGCTCAAACCTGCGCCGGTTTAGAGCATTAGGGAACCCCCAAGCCCTAAACCCTAAACCCTAAACCCTAAACCCTAAACCCTAACCCTAAACCCTAAACCCTAAACCCTAAACCCAACCCTAAACCCTAAACCCTATTCATTAAGGCCTTCTAGGGCATGAGGGTTGCACCTTCGGAGGGAGCTCGGGGTTGCCATAAATGAAAACCCCTCTCACAGGCCGCCCAGGCGCCCCTTGGTAAGCAGCTTCAGGCCAGCAGCCAAGAAACCTAGACCCAGGTCCTAGCCCTAAACCCTAAACCCTAAACCCTAAACCTTAAACCCTAAACCCTAAACCCTAAAAACCCTAAACCCTAACAAAAACCGCAAAATAAGGGCCTACTCTGGGTCCAAGAGACCGAAAGGCTTTGGCAGCGCGAGGTGCATCTCCGGATCCTCCAGCGCACCGTGGCGCACAAGCAGCCAGAGCCGCCCCAGCACCTGGTCGTGGGTAGGGTGTAGGGTTTAGGGTTTAGGGTTTAGGGTTGAGGGTTGAGGGTTAAGGGTTGAGGGTTGAGGGTTTCGGGTTTCAAGTTTAGGGTTGCCCCTCCCTGCCAACTGTCTGTAAAACCGAAGTGAGAATTTGGACACCAAACTCCATACACCCTCTAAACCCTAAGCCGTACATTGCTCTAAGCGGATCTCACAGCAGCTGATGGAATATCCCAGTGGTCTACATGTTCCACACTATGAGAGACAGAAGATGCCAGCAGCGGAGGACGCCCTGGACCATAATCACACTACAGCGTTTTGCGGAAAACTGACTTACTGGCAGGTCTCAACAGCTCCAAATGCAGCCATCAGTTCCGCTACGGTACTTGCACTTGCTTATGCGATGACCTATCGACTGTAGTACCGGCAGCAATGAAACTTGGGTGCACCTCCGTCAGCACATGGAAATGCGACGTGGCAGCGAACTGCACCAGACTGGCCACTTTGGAAACCTGCAATGCGTTTTGGACGTACGGCTTGCCATCTTTTTGCTCCGAAACCACAAGGGTGCAGCCATTTTCGGAAACCCAGCTTTGCTTGGTGCTACTGTTTAGCCTCACTTAGGATCTCGGGGCCATGTCTTGCTTTGTAGCAGTTTAGCTCTCGGACCGGTCGTATCCTCTTGACATGGAGGGCTTACTAATTAGAACTGTACTTATAACCCACTTATAAGCCCCTTAAGTGCCCTAACATGCTTATAAGCACCCTTTCAGATACATGTTCTTACCGTATATGCAGCGTGGGCATTTCCCACATCAGGTTCCTACAGGAAGGACATAAGTACTTTGGGGGTACGTGAGGTCCCGCACCCTCCACCAGAAGACCTAAACCCTGTAAACCCTGTAAGCCCTTAACAAGCCCGAAATCCTTCAAGGTGCCATGCAGCTCCACCCTACCCCGAACCGAGGCCTAACATAATCCCAACCTGAACACTGCAGAAACCCAATGCTTATCGGGTTCTGGCAAGGGGAGTAGGTACCTAGGGAACCTTACAAAAGCTTAGGGAGCCTTGGGGAGTAGTAGGGAGGATTAGGGAAGCTTGGGTTACATACTCCCTTGAACCTTCCCTTAAGAACCCTATAAAGTGCTCGCCACACCTCTTAGACCAGCCGCAGACCCTACAACCCTTAAACCCTTATGAACCCCAAACCAAAAAGAACCGAAACAAAAGCTGCAAAGAAAGCCTGACAAAACAGACACACACACACACACAAAAACACACACACACACACACACACAAAGCCCCGCAACAATAAGCTAACCAAACAAACCTTAAAACTCGAAACCTGAAACCCTTAAAAACAAGCTTTACCTTAAAACAAGCTTAACATAAACAAACCTTAAAGCCACAAACCGCAAACCCGAAACCCTAAACCTCAAACCCTAAACCCTAAACCCTAAATCCTAAACCCTAAACCCTATTCCCTAGACCCCTAAGGCCCCAAAAGCCCTTCCGAACCGCCTTTGCGGGTGTTTCCCAGGCTCCGTGGTTCGGTGCTCGGCCTGGAGCTTGTTGGGGGGGTTTAGGGTTTAGGGTTTAGGGTTTAGGGTTTAGGGTTTAGGGTTTAGGGTTGAGGGTTGAGGGTTTAGGGCTTGGGGGGGGGGGGGGGGTGGGTAGGGTTTAGGGTTTAATGTTTGAGGTTAAGGTTTTTTTGTGGAGTTCATGAGGTTTAAGGGGCTCAGAATTGAAGGAGCTAAGCGTTTCACGGGTTAAGGGTTGTCACCACCCAAAACTAGCAGGTCGAGGGGAATTGGTAGGCTGCGAGATCTCTGCCCTCTAAGGGCCCAAGGGCCCATACTTCTGCAGTCACCTGAGTAGGGGATTTCGCGTTCAGGTTAGGGTTCAGGGTTCAGGGTTGAGGGTTGAGGGTTTAGGGTTTAGGGTTTTGGGTTTAGGGTTTAGGGTTAAAGGTTAAGGGTTTAGGGTTTAGGGTTCAGGGTTTAGGGTTCAGGGTTTAGGGTTTCGGGTTGAGGGTTCAGGGTTTAGGGCTTGGTGTTTTGGAGTCGGGGGCCTGGGGCTCAGGACCCTTGACCCTATAAACCCTTCGCCACATCAGATCAAGCTTGGACCCAGTTCGGGGTTCTAGGTTGCTTTGGGGTTTCGGGCTTGGGTTTAGGGTTCAGGATTTAGGGTTACAGGCTTCGGGTTTAGGGTTAGGGCTTTAGGGTTTAGGGCATTGGGCTTCGGGCTTAGGGCTTTGAAGGTTTCATTTTTGGGGTCTAAGGGTTAAGCCCAGGAAAGCCCCCAGCCCTCACACACCCAAACACCAACATCCTAAAACCCCAGGGCTACGGGTTCCTTAGTATGGGCCATTAAAAGGGTACCCCTTAGTTCCGCCTTTTTGTCTACCCTGTACAAATTCAGGGCCCATACATCACCTGTAAAGGAGGTAAAGGACCATATTAAGGGCCCATGAAACTACCCGTAGATCAGCCCTAAGCCCTAAACCCTAAACCCTAACCCTAAACCCTAAACCCTAAGCCCTAAGCCCTAAACCCTAAACCCTAAACCCTAAGCACTAGGGCCCATGTGGCTTAGAGGGTTGGAGTCCAAACCCTAAACCCTGAACCCTAAACTTTAAACCTTATACCTTCTCTTCAAGTAGGGTTTCTGCTTTTATAGGGGGGGTTCTTATATAGGGTATCCAGGGGCTATATTAAGGCATAAGGGTAACAGATAAAGAGGCCGCCGGCCTTTATAACTTATACCCTCAACCCATAAACCCAGTCTAGGTTTAAGGGTGAGGACGTCAGGACGCCGGGCCTTGCGAATAGTCGTACCATTTCCACCGCGCTCCGGAAGAATAAGGAGTGGCAGGATCGCCCCAGATCTTAGTTGGAGTTTAGGGCTTAGGGTTTAGGGTTTAGGGTTTAGGGTTAGGGTTTAGGGTTAGGGTTTAGGGTTTAGCCCGATACCAAAGGAGTCTGCCTTAAGTTACATGCAGAAATCCTGAGTACGATTTAATATTCCTTAACTAAGGGGTGTTGGGCTCTTTGGGGTGCTGGACTTCGATTCAGGCTGTGAGTATTTTGGGGCCTTGGGCCTTGGGGTTGGCGGGTAAAGACTTTAGACTACTTATAGGCTTTACGGTAGAGCTTACGGAGGATTTCGCTTGAGGACGCCAAGCCCCAAACCCACTCGGTTGGGCATGTGCTTCTCCACAGGCTCTGCTTATTTCTGGCCCTAAACCCTAAACCCTGAACCCTAAACCCTAAACCCTAAACCCTCCCTACAGGTTCACTTCCAACGTGGTTCTTGGGAAGGAAAATGTTAGTAAACGCGAGGGTTTTGGTCAAGAAGCCCTTTTATGTTACTTGGGAAGACATAGGTTTTGTTGTGTTGTCTTGTCACACGGACGTTCTCATCGTGCGGACATGGATGCTCTGGCCATTCGCACGCAGTGGTCACGCGGACGTTCTCATCGTGCGGACATGAATGCTCTGGCCATTCGCACGCACTGGTCACACGGACTTTCTCATCGTGCGGGGTAGACGGGTGTTTACAAAACCCAGAGACTTCAGGTGAAGCGCTTTGGATTGGACGTGATTACCCCCCCCCCCCCCCCCCAGAGGCTTCAGGTGAAGAGCTTTGGATTGGACGTGATTATCCCCCCCCCCCACCCCCCGCAACCCCAAAACGTTTTGCGAGCAAGGATTGCGCAGGACAGCCGACAGCACGTCAAACCGTACGCATGCAGAAATGTGGCACCTGCAGCATTTTTGTGAGAGGCGACAGAAACCGTGAAAACGTGCTTGCGTTTTGCACCTGGTGCAAAACGCAAGCACGGAAGAATTGTCCGCAGATACATCTCTTGGGTCCGTGGGTTCCCGCATGAGTAAAAAAACCATGCAAAAACCGATGCTTTTGAAGCATTTTAAGCCGGGGCCCCAGCTGACAGTGTGAGCCTGTAACCCGTGGAATCCCCACGTTGCAACTGAACCCGTCTGCTAAACCCTAAACCCTAAACCCAAGCCCAGTTTCAACCACAAGGAAAGGGAGGGGGGGTCTACTGGCCGCGGAACACGCCCAGGGCCCATCCTAAACTCCAAACCCTAAAGTTTAGGGTCTAGGGTTTGGGGGACTCAAACCGTAGAAAAGCTTCCAAACAAACCCTAATCAAGCATAAGAAACTCCAAAAACCCTAAACAACCACCCAAGAAACCTAAACCCTAAATACGTCGAATAAACCCTACTTGGAGGTTCAGGGTACGTTTTTTAAGCCCAATTGTAGCTGCACTTATAAGCCCCCTAAATCCTCTAAGTCGGTGACAAGTAGACTTACAATGAGGGTTATAAGTACCCATGAACTGCCAAGTAAGAGGCCTTAAACTCTAAGGGTAGTGCCCTTAAAGGCCCTGAACCCTGAACCCTGCACCCTAAAACCCTAAACCCTAAACCCTAAAACCTAAAACCTGAACCCTAAACCCTAAATCCTAAACCCTGAACCCTAATTATAAACCCTAAACTCGGAACCCTAAACCCTAAACCCTAAACTGAGGCCTCGAGCAGCTGGAGGTTGGCGGCCAGGTTCACCGCCAGCCCGGCAGAGGCCAGGTAGATGCGGCAGTTCCTGAGATGAAAAGGGTTTAGGGTTTAGGGTTTAGGGTTTAGGGTTTAGGGTTTAGGGTTTAGGGCAGTTTAGGGGTTTAGGTTTCGGGCGGCCGTTCCCTGATCCCATAGAAACACAAAAAACTAACCCTAAACCCCAATCCCCAAACCCTAAACCCTAAACCCGGATTCCGCACCGACTGTACTATACTCAAACTACAAAACTAGAGCCCAAAAGGCTCATTTGGAGCTCGGGGGGGGGGGTAGTCAAGGTGGCGTGAGGCCTACAAGGAGGGGCCTCCTAGATTTGAGTAGAGTTATTTGGACCCTAAAGTAGGTTTTCAGGATAAACCCTAAACCCTAAACCCTAAACCCTGCTCCTAAATTAGGTTATAAGTCCCTTAACTATAGCTAGCTCGTATAGTAAGGGGGGCCCCTCCTTGTACCCGGCAAACGTTCCCCAGCTATCGCCCAGCAACTTCTCATCGACGATGAGACCATCATCCCCGGCCAGCCCCACCTCAGCGAGAGGTCCCCGAAACCCTAAAACCCTAAAACCCTAAACCCTAAACCCTAAACCCTAAACCCTACTACCAGGAGAGCACAGGCAGGGCTGCACCTTCCGAGCCCGGTTTAGGGGGGTCGACGTGCAACCGGGCTTCATTCTTGAAAGTGGCCACATAACCGGCCGCACTCCCCTGCGGCTCACTCGACCCAGTGTGCTGAACGAAGTCCACTGATATGTCCATGCCTGCGGCTTATTTGGGACTAGTATTGGGGGGGGGGGGGGGGGGGGGGGGGTTAGGGATTAGGGTTTAGGGTTGAAGAGGGGGGGGGTGAGGGGGGGGAGGGGTTAGGGTTTAGGGTTTAGGGTTGAGGGGGGGGGGGGGGGCGGGGGTGGGTTAGGGTTTAGGGTTTAGGGTTGGGGGGGGGGGGGGGGTGTTCCAAAAACAGGGGTACCCTTTTTGGGGGCGTTCCTGCAATAAGTTGTTTTGCTATTTGGTTATTTATGAATTAGTATTATATGTATATTTGTATATATATATATATATATTTTTTTTTTGCGGGGGGGGGGGGGTATGCTAAGGGTGCAGTACCCCACACATTTCGGGAGGTTTTCATATAAGGGAACATCGTGTAGGGCCTAGGGTTTTTTTGGGGTGATAATGGGGGGTTTGGTGATCATGGCTTGTATATATAAACGTATCAGAATATTCTGTTCTTATTATACGACTTTGTAGAGTATTTCAATTCACCCGAAACCCTAAACCCTATAATTATAGGTACAGACGAAGGCATGCAGCCCTTACTATAGGGACTATAGGGCTGGGAGGGCTGCTCCTTTGAGGCTGAAATTTCAACAGCGGCTTCGCAGAAAGCAACCATGCCACTCCAAACCCCCAAGTGGTCCAGAGTTTTGGGTTCCTGTCATGCCCTAAACCCTAAACCCGAAACCCGGAACCCTTCTGGTTCTTAGGGGTTTTAAGAGTTTATTGGGTTTAGGATTCGGAAAGCCAGATGCGAATTCTTGAGGCACCCGTGCAGGGCTGAGGGCTTCGGGGGTTTAAAGTTCGGTCCTGCTGATTTCGCTGCTCCCTTATCTCTGCAGCCATTCTCAGCGTCTAAAGCCGCTTACTAGGGCAGGCACCCCTAAACGCAAAACCCCAAAACCCTGAATTTTGGCTTTCGCAGTTTGGCATCTCGTGCTGCTGAAAGTGCTTCGCGATCACGGGGCTTCGTGAACGGAGGATCAAACCTGAAAACCTTCGAATGGCCCAGTAGGCATTCCCATCGTCGACTTGCCACAAGTTCAAAAGCATCTTCGGGGCTTGAACGCCCTGAAGCCGATATAAACCCGAAGCCTTCGCAACAAGAGACTTTAGGGTCCTCAAGGGAGGGGTATCCAAGCGGCAGAGCCCTAAGCTCGAAACCCTAAACCTCCCTAAAGGTGGATTCAGTTGCAGGGTGCTGCTGTGTAATGTGGGCCATCACACAACCTAATGGGGTTGTGGTTCCTACCAACTTGCAACTCGCACAACAAAAGTTTAAGCAGCCCCCAAAAGAGAACCACAATTGGGTGTACCGAATATGAAGCTATGCTGGCTATGCTGCTGAGCCTTTGAGAGGGCTGGTTCTGAAATGTCCAAACCCCGAACAGTTTCGCGCCTGAGCTTGCGGTAGCCTCGATCCAGTCGTAGACCAGCGCGCCCTGGTCACAGGTCTTCGTGCCTTGTAGACCAGCACTGTGCAGGGTTACAAGTCTGGGCCCCCCAAATCCTGAATATGGGATGCTTATGTGCCCATCGCATACCCAGCTTGTATTTATCCATTTATATATATATATAAATAAATAAATAAATAAATATATATATATATATATACACTCTACCAATACCAATCAGGACTCCAAAAAAGGCGAAGGGCCCAAGATTCGGGGCCGATGCTTGAAACCCTAGACACTGAGGTGGATTTGGTGGCCTAAAACAGCAACAAACCCATGGGCTACGTAGGGCTGTAGAGGGGCTGGGATTCATTGAGGTTTCAGAATATACTCCAAATCAATCAAGACATGAAGTAGCTCCTCCTTAGACCCTAACCCTAAACCCTAAACCCTAAACCCTAAACCCTAAACCCTAAACCCTAAACCCTAAAGATCTCCAATCGTTTTCGGCAGGGTGCAAGATTTGTTTGGGGGAAGGGAGGCTTCACTACGCCTCTCGTTTAATTTGGCTGCCCAGTAGCCTAGGATTAAAAGGGTGCCCTTGTTTTCTTCAAGGGGTTTATAAGGGAACCTGAGCACAACAAAAAGGATAGGGGTAATTATCACAGTTTCGGCTTTGTCTAGTTTGGGAATTCAAGGTTTAGACTTCTGGGTTGAGGGGTTTGAGGGTTTGTAGGGGCTTAGGATTTAGAATTTAGGGTTTGGGGTTTGGAGCTTAGCCGCTTCAGGCCGATCGTAGAACGTGGTGGTACCCCGCAACGGGCAGTCCTGCGTCTATAGACCCTGCGAAAGTCCAAGACCCAGTGACACCTAGAATCCAAACCGCATAGTCGAAGCCCCGTAAGCCCTCCCTTGTCAAAATCGTCAAACCCTAAACCGAAACCCGAAGAGCCCAATACCCCTTAACCAAGCAAGATACCTTACATGATATTATGGGTCCCTTTATGATCTAAGGCATCTTCCTCAATTAAGGGGGTCTTGGGCTCTCTGGAAATCGCAGACCTTGTAGGGAGCAACGCCAAGACGCGTTTGCGCTCGATGAGCCCGGCCTTCCATGCTTCGAAAGCCTCAGCGATGGCTGCCCGCTTCAGATTTGTTTAGGGTTTAGGGTTTAGGGTTTAGGGCTTAGGGTTTAGGGTTTAGGGTTTAGGGTTTAGGGTTTAGGGTTTAGGGTTTAGGGTTTAGGGTTTAGGGCTTCGGGCTTCAGGGGTTCACAGTTGGGGGCTCCAGGGCTTAGGGTTTAGGGTTTAGGGTTTAGGGTTCGCAGTTAGGGGTTTTAGGGCTTATCGGCTCTAGGGCTTATAGGGTTCTTAAAATCCCCAAACCCTAAACCCTGAATCCTCAGAGCCCTAGAGAAAGCCTACCAAAAGGCCCAGAAGCCCTATAAACTCTAGACTTAAACCCTAAACCCTAAACCCTAAACCCTCTATACACCCTAACTCGATCTAGGGATCGCCGGGCTGATCCCACTGAAACCTGAGAATAAGGCTACCTGGATGCATGTTTTCGGGGTTTGTAAGGGAACCGCTCAACCCTAAACCCTAAACCCTAAACCCTAAACCCGAAACCCTAAACCCTAGACTGCAAAACGGGGGGCCAAGGCCCTGCCACGGCCCAAAGAGCCCGATGCCCCTCAATGCAGGACATATACCTTGCAATATACAGGGATCCTTAATATGATTTCAGGTATATTCCTTATCCTTGATATGCTTTAAGGAATATATTCCTTGTATTAAGGGTTCTTGGGCTCTTAGGGAAGCAGAGCAGATGCTTTAAGGAATATATTCCTTATTTAAGGGTTCTTGGGCTCTTAGGGAAGCAGAACATACAAGCAGCTCGCTCATGGGCTTCCTTGAAGCTCGCAACGGCCTGGGTTGTGATGTTCGACTCCTGCCATCTTCTCGGAGAGGATGGTTTTTGCGGGCGGGGAGTCTCAGAGTTATTGCAACCTTCCTGGCTTCAAGAGTGTGGGATTTAGGGTTTAGCACTATCACATTGGGGTATAAAGCGTGTATGGGCAACTGACTGGATTCTGAACCCTAAACCCTGAACCCTAAACCCTATAAAGCCTATAAACCCCAAACCGTTGCCCAAACCCTACTTACCTGCGATGCGGACGTGAAGTCGTTCGTCGATCCTAGGTGTAGATTTTTATACTCTGCACGGAGTCTGCGCTGTTCTACTTGGAGGTTCATGGTACTTATAACCCTAATTCCAACTCTACTTACAAGCCCCCTAAGTCCCGTAAGTAGGTTATAAGTAGACTTATAACTGTGGTTATAAGTACCCATGAACCTCTAAGTAGCGGTTCTACCTAGGACCCTTAGAAGCTGTACCCTTGGGTTTTGGGGGGTCCTTAAGAAGGGATCCCTAAGGGAACACAGGGGCCAGATTAGGAGTATACTTTCGGGGAGCCTTACAACCTTAGTGGTGCATATCTTCATCCCTTCAGCTGTGAGCATCTGTGTGCCTATATGCGGGTTTCCGAAATTAGGGGTGTGCCTTATTGGGGTCCTTATTATAAGGGTCTAGGGTCTAGGGTTTCGGATTTAGGGTTTCCGACATTAGGGGCACCTTATTGGGGTCCATACTTTTCAGGAAATCCCACTGTTGGGGGGGGGGGGGGGGGGGGGGGGGAGGCGTATTTTAGATTTTCGTAAGCCCCCATAGAGTATTTACTTGGAATGTTTAGGTGGTTCCTGTATAGTCGCTTCAGGGCCCAAGTATATACTATAAGTACAACTATTTGTTTATTCCTTATGGGGTTTAAGTACCCTTAAAGATGTAAAATGGTACCCAACTATGACATAGCTTAGGGCAAGAACGGAATGCAGATCGGTGGTCGATCTGCTGACATGATTGAAGCTAGCAATCTCCAAAAGAGGCAACGAATTCAACGCATGGCTTAGGGCTACTGTAGGGTTTAGGGTTTAGGGTTTAGGGTTTAGGGTTTAGGGTTTAGGGTCTAGGGTCTAGAGTCTAGGGCTTGGGGTGCCAGACAGTCAGGATGTTTTTGAATAAGGCAGAACGCGGAATCCCAAAGATGCCGCGGATGTCTTGATCAGAACTATGAGAGGACTTGGCATTCTTCACCTGTCTCATATGAGTGGCTTTTTCCGTGGGATCTTGCAGTTGCCTTTTGAAATGTGCTGGCCAAAGCCGGGGTGGAATAGGACGAAGTTGGCATCAACTGGCTTGTTGAAAAGAAACACGCGCGCCTGAAGTTGTACAAGATCAAACCCCGAAACCCGAGGGACACTCTAAGCCTTAAACCCTAAACCCCAAACCCAAGCCTGAAACCTTAAACCCTAAACCTTTAAACCCTAAACACGCAACCCTACTTTGGAGCAAAGCAAAAAAAACAATTCGCTGGGCGGACTTCGGTTTCAGGTGAGACTGCACATCCTGACCCCCCTTCCCGTAACGATGGAAAAAAGGTTTAGGGTTTAGGGTTCGGGGCTTGGGGTTTCGAGTTTGGACAGGCGCTTTTGTGGGACATGCAGGATTTTTTGAGGGTACAAGGGCTCACAAGCAGACTGCACACGTGAAACCGCCAGCCACCTCGAAATTGTCCCATACACGCTAAACCCTGAACTCTAAATGCTGAACTATAACCCTAAACCCTAAACCCTAAACCCCAAACCCTAAATTCCTAGACTCCGCGCCTTCCGAAGCTCGGAGACCATCACCCGGGTCGTGGCCAAGTCGTGGTGCATGCTTGGGAAGCCAGGGTAGATGTCCTTGGGTTTAGGGTTTAGGGTTTAGGGTTTAGGGTTTAGGGTTTAGGGTTTAGGGTTTAGGGTTTAGGGTTTAGGGTTTAGGGTTTAGGGTTTAGGGTTTAGGGTTTAGGGTTTAGGGTTTAGGGTTTAGGGTGTACGGTTTAGGGTTTAGGGTTTAGGGTTTAGGGTTTAGGGTTTAGGGTTTAGGGTTTAGGGTTTAGGGTTTAGGGTTTAGGGTTTAGGGTTTAGGGTTTAGGGTTTAGGGTTTAGGGTTCATGGTTCTCAGGATCGGGCAACTTAATAAGTAGGAACACAACGTGGAGTTATGGGATAAGATACTTTTGGGACTTTAGTTGGGGTTAGCGTCCTTAATCGCCCTTCCTCGGTAACTACCTACAAGTAGGGTTTAAGGTTTACAGGGTTACGTGGTTAGAAGGGGCAGTTAGGATGTCTTGGGGTTGAGACTTTACTTCTCGAGTTTAGCGGTTGGGGCTGTGGGGGTTTAGGGTTTACAGGTTTGCAGGGTTAGAAGGGTTAAAATGTCTTGGGGTTGAGACTTTAGCTTCTCGGGTTTGGGGCTTGGGCCTGTGGGGTTGACGGTGGATTCGCCGTCCATGACGCGGTATAAGGGCCCTACTACAGTTAAACCCTCAACTCTAGACCCTAAACCTGAAACCCCTAACCCCTTGTAGCACGAGGGACTTAAGGAAACCATTGCTGTATGTGGACGAACCCCACCTTTCAAACATCCGCGCAAGGATTGATGACCAGGGTTCAAAACTTTGGCACGAGGGGAAGATGACAGACTTAAGGATTTTCAGGGTTTATGGTTTCAGAGTTTAGGGCATTGTTAGGGTTTTAGGGTTTGGGGGGGCAAAAAGAGAAAAGGAAAACAAGAAACAACAAACACCCCAACATCTGGTGCCCATTGCATGTGTACCTGTGGCTCTCCAGTTCCCTCCCCACAAACCCCAACAAGTAGACCCCCAACGATTCGGACATTTCTCAGGAACCCTCGAAGGGATCTACTTTTTGCATCCTCCCAGGCGTCTGGGTCGAGGCATAACCCTGAACCCTGAACCCGAAACCCTAAACCCTGAACCCTAAACCCGAAACCCGAAACCCCTAAACCCTGAACCCTAAACCCTAAACGACAGGTCTCGAGCTGCTTCTCGATGAGCTTGAGGGAGGCCTGCAGGTCGCCCTGCCCACCAGCATAAACCTGCCCAGGGTTTAGGGTTTAGGGTTTAAAGTTTAGGGTTTAGGGTTTAGGGTTTAGGGCCCAGACTTCTCCAAGAAGTAGATCCCCCCTAAGGGCTTTTTAAGAATGACCCAAGAGTAGCATTAGGGTACAAGTTTGGGGTTCTGCTTTTTGGATCCTCCCAGGGGTCTGGGTAGATCAGAGTCCATCTCGAGGGTCAAAATGTAAACCCAAACCCTAAAAAACCCTGGTCCCCAAATTAGGGTTGAGGGTTTCGGGCTCCCTGCATCAGGGAGGAGTGCTGGGTTCCAAGAATCAGGATCGTGGAATCGGGGTTCAGGGGGATTCTGGCGCTACCCTAAACCCTAAACCCCCTAAACCCTGAACCCTGAACCCTAAACCCTAAACCCTAAACCCTAAGTAAACTTGAACGCAGAGGCCCCCAAGCTCCTACCAGCAGCTCTTCGGTATGGCCATGGCATTAGCCACCCGAGCTTGGGGTCAGCGATGCGATACACACATTTTTTGACAGCTGAGGGTTTGCCAATTCTCATTCTCAGGTTCGGGGCTGGCACACTTTACACCTTTAAGGGTTTCGAGCCTTGCCTGACGGCCCACACGTTTTGGGCAGCCTGCCAATGAGGTCTTGCGGTCGCACACCTACCATAACGAAAGCAACATGAACTTGCGGCACACGGCACAAGCAGGATACGGAACTCTTTCGAGCCCAAACAGAACCGATCCTGCCTGGTCGCGCTCCATTGAAACCATACCATACCTTGTTGGGTCATCCGGGCCGGAGGGATCATATGGCCCCTTACCTTCTTTCAAGCGTTCTGAAGTGTGTATGGCATTTGGGGTTTTATAGGGTATATGAGGGGTATCTACGTGTTCCCCAATTAAGGGCCAAAATTGGGGGACCATGTAGCCACCCTGAGAAGGGAGGTGAGGTTTAGGGCTGCTCCAGTAGACTTCTCGTTTGGCCGAGGTCCAGGACTTTGAAGCTCTCCAGGCAAGCTAAGCAGCTACGCCCTCAACCCAGGCAAATCCGAACTCCCAAAAACAAAAGGCCCTCTTTGTATACCAACAATAGTTCAGGGACTTATGACCTAAGTTTGAATACTTAGAACCCAATTTCAAGGCCCGTGTAACTCTACTTGTAACTACAAGGCCCCTCTTTGTACGTTCCGAGTGTATGGAATCTGTAGCCTTTCTCTCTGGGCCCCAACAGGTATATTCCTGGGCTCTGTGGGTTAAACCCTAAACCTTAAACCCTAAACCCTAAACCCTAAACCCCAAACCCTAACCCTCAATTTAGGGTTATTGGGCTCTGTGGGTTTAAGGGGCATGGGTGGTCGGGCACAGGCACTTCGCCCATCGAAGCCTCCCGGCCGCCCAGGCTGCAAGATCGGGCTCGGTCCTAGGGTTTAGGGTTTAGGGTTTAGGGTTTAGGGTTTAGGGTTTAGGGTTTAGGGTTTAGGGTTTAGGGTTTAGGGTTTAGGGTTTAGGGTTTAGGGTTTAGAAGGAACATAGCGAACTTAAGGACTTTAAGGAGTTCAGGGAATTTAGGGATAAAGGGGGGGGGGGGGGAGGGTTGAAAGGCGGCAGAGCACAGCAAAGGGGTTTCTTTGAGGGGTATGCAAGGAGATCAGGGAATGTAGGCTTTATGGCTTTTCGGGATATAGGGAGGGAAAATAGGACTGAGGCGTGTGCTTAGGGAATGTTTCGAGGGTCGGTGACTGAATAAGCAGGAATCAGGTGAGAGCTAGCTACTAAGCAGGAGAAGCTCAAGTAGGGTTCCGTTTGAGGTATGATAACTCCACTGTTACGACGTCTCATGTTCCTCAAATATGTCTATAGACATATATATATATATATATGACCCATACATATATATATATATATGACCCATACATATATGTATAGATATATATATATATATACATGTATATATATATATATATATGCTACCCCCCCCCCCCCTCATGCGCCTACCTTTTGTGATTTCGAACGCGTGTTTGAACCCAATGGCTGTTTAAACAGGTGCGCTCATGTAATACAGATGTAGAGCGACGACCTCGGCGCTTGCTTCTGGCACTCAATTCGCGAAGACGAGCTTGGACTAGGCTAAGATCGCAAAATCATGAGTGTTACTTTGCAAGTTCGGCTCATGAAGCCAAAGTAAATATTATTGGTTGTTGTCAATTTAGACGAGTCGCTTGGATAAACACATGCTTAGTTTGCAAGGTTTCAAATACATAGCTTGCAATCACGAACATCAAAGGCTCATCAACTGTTAACTCAACTTGATGAAGGCAATGTGTTTTTGTACTCAGGCGGCTAGTGATATGCACTGCAACAGCATGCAACAAAAAGGCACTGCCTTTAAAGCTAAACAAACACAAATCTCCAGTATTGCAAGAACAGCACTTACAGAAGTATACGCTTACTGGTTAATCGTTTCCCCATGGTCTTAAATACCCCCCCCCCCCCCCCTAATTGTAAAACACGTTCTTGAACATCTTTCCGAAATCACCCCCCACAGTTTAAAACCTATTCCGAATTAGGGGGAGGGTTGAGGTCTCCCAAAACCCTCAAACCAACCAACATCCTGAAGCTCCCTTCCCTCTCTCGCTCTCTCTCTCTCTCTCTCTCTCTCTCTCTCTCTCTCTCTCTCTCTCTCTCTCTCTCTCTCTTCAGTTTGCACCTAATTAAGTACTTAAACCTCCAAACCCTGAAGCCTAGACCCTCAAGACCCAAAACATGACATTTGGATAAAACATCTCCTTATAATAAAAAATCACATTTCGGTTTCTATTGGGGGGGGGGGGGGGGGGGGGGGGGGGGAGGTTCCCCCCGTTTAATATTAGGGGGAAGGGATTCTACTGACTCTTGAGAAACATAATGGTGAGGCCAGCTATGTTCCTTGAAAAAAATATACTTGTTTAAGGGGGTGTTGAAAGAGAGTGAAGGACGGCTCTTGGGACGACCGATGGGCCAATGGATTAAGCACGCAAGACGGAAACGTTCTTCCTGTTGAAATTGTATTTCAAGGAATGTCACTGGCCCTATCAAAAGAAACGATTCTAAGAGTAGCCCTAACAATTATGTTGTGGCATCGGTTGTCCTACATTCTCGTCCAACATTCCCAGTCACTCAAGCAATAACTTTGAAATGATTGGTGACACCCTTTTATCCCAAATAATCCGAGCCATTTGCATTTCGACTTGGGGAGGGGCTTCCAATACTCCAACCCTCATTAAGTAGTAGATGTTTAGGAATGAACAGTGGCCTCCAAAGTATACCTACCATTTGGTTGACGTTTTCGCATTTAAAGTTGGGAAGGAGGGGGGGGGGGGTGAAATAAGGTCTAGCTCCTAAGGATATACTCCTACAAGGTCTGTTCTCATAGCTGTTCAGATCAAGGCACACCTCTAGCCCGAATTACAAACTAAAATGCTAGCCCGATCAAAAAAGATACTTTGGCTGGCGCATCCGTTGTCCTAGTAGCTGTCCTTTGTTCTCTTCCAACATTCCCGGTCACTCAAGCAAATATGACTTCAGCATGCGAAGTGACCGCCAATTCATCATTTCCTCAAGTAGTTTCATTTCTTTCTTTATTCTTCGTACTTGTGGTGGGGGCTTCCCATATTCCCGAGTAGCAGCAATTTAACAGGAAAGAAGCGACCTCCATTTATACGTACCAACCCAATTCGAACGTTGACATCGGAAACCCCGACAAACCTACACCGCCCAAAAACCCTAAACCCTCTTCAAGCCCTGCACCGAAAACCCCAAAAACCTTAACCCTAAACCCTACACCCTAAACCCTAAACCCCAAACCCTAACCCTAAACCCTAAACCCTTTGTGGTGGCCGAGAGTCTCCTTGTCGATCCTCTGCAAAGCCCCCTCCCATGCGCTTATCGACTCCTGGCGGGTGTCCCAAAACCCTAAACCCCAAACCCCAAACCCTAAACCCCAAACCCTAAACCCTAAACCCCAAACCCTAAACCCTAAACCCCAATGCCCCTAACCATTGTTTGGACTTTACCCAAAGGCTGCTATGCAGTCCCTTTTTGGGGCAGTATACTGGAATCCCCTATAGCAAACCCAAAAAGGAACTACACTGGAGCCTTTGGGTAGCGTACCCTTTTGGGGTAGTATACTAGAATCCCCTAAACCCTAAACACTCTCTATCCTATGTATATTTAATGGCTAATGGCTTCCCGGTTTTTCCACTAAAAATTACCGGTTTTCCACTAAAAATTACCGGTTTTCCACCAAAAATTCCCGGTTTTCCACTAAAAATTCCCGGTTTTCCACTAAAAATTACCGGTTTTCCACAAATCCAGGTTTTTCCACCAAAAATTCCCGGTTTTCCACAAAAAATTCCCGGTTTTTCCACTAAAACTTCCCGGTTTTTCCACCAAAACTCCCGGTTTTTCCACTAAATATTCCCGGTTTTCCACTAAAAATTCCAGGTTTTCCACTAAAAATTCCCGGTTTTCCACTAAAAATTCCCGGTTTTCCACTAAAAATTCCCGGTTTTCCACCAACAATTCCCGGTTTTCCACTAAAAATTCCCGGTTTTCCACTAAAAATTCCCGGTTTTCCACAATCCCGGTGTTCCACCAAAAAATCCCGGTTTTCCACGAAAAATTCCAGGTTTTTCAACCAAAAACTTCCCGGTTTTTCCACTAAAAACTCCCGGTTTTTCCACTAAAAACTCCCGGTTTTCCACCAAAAATTCCCGGTTTTTCCACTAAAAAATCCAGGTTTTCCACTAAAAATTCCAGGTTTTTCCACTAAAACTTCCCGGTTTTTCCACCAAAAACTCCCGGTTTTTCCACTAAAAATTCCCGGTTTTCCACAAAAAACTCCCGGTTTTTCCACTAAAAATTCCCGGTTTTCCACTAAGAATTCCCGGTTTTTCCACTAAAACTTCCAGGTTTTTCCACCAAAAATTCCCGGTTTTTCCACGAAAAATCCCGGTTTTCCACTAAAAATTCCGGGTTTTTCCACTAAAACTTCCCGGTTTTTCCACCAAAAACTCCCGGTTTTTCTACTAAAAAATCCCGGTTTTCCACCAAAAATTCCCGGTTTTTCTACTAAAAATTCCCGGTTTTCCACTAAACATTCCCGGTTTTACACAAATCCCGGTTTTCCCGGTTTTCCACCAAAATTTACCGGTTGCTCGGGGGGCCTACTCTGGGCTGGCTTTAGGGTTTAGGGCCTACTCTGGGCAGGCTTTAGGGTTTAGGGCCTATTCGGTACTGGCTTTAGGGTTTAGGGCCTACTCTGGGCTGGCTGTAGGGTTTAGGGCCTAGTCTGGGCTGGCTTCTGGGCTGGCTCGGGGGCTACGCGGGGCTGGTTTTATTGAGGTTAGGCCCTGCTCTGGGCTGCCTTTTGGGTTTAGGGCCCACCCTGGGCGGCAGCCGACTGAACCAAAAATTTGAAGATTAAAACATAAAGTAAAATATTTTCATAATGTTATGGGATCCACTGGGTGGGTGGGTCGATATTCGATACCGGAGTAAGGAGCTCTACTAGTGAAATGCTTGGACTTGAGATGCTGAACCCTAAACCCTAAACCCTAAACCCTAAACCCTAAACCCTAAACCCTAAACCCTAAACCCTAAACCCTAAACCCTAACCCAAAAGGAACTACATTGGAGCCTTTGTGTAGCGTTTAGGGATTGGGGCTTGCAACTTCGGTTTTCTCACGTTCTGGGCTCGACTCGTAGTGTCGTTGCCTGTTTAGGGTTTAGGGTTTAGGCTTTAGGGTGTAGGGCTGCGGCTTTTTTTCTGGCGCCGGGTTTCTGCACAGCTTCTGTCGGATAGTCCCTGATGATAGTTTATTTCGGGTCGCCCAAAAAAAGGATTCTCGAAATCTGGCTGGCCTCCAGCTGGTTGCATGTCAGCATAGACCTGAGGTGCTGCTGACGGAAGCTTGTTTCAGCACTCGACTGTAGGAGAGACTGCCTGAGAATCAGACAAGATCCAAGAGCACAATACAAATGCCCTCCACGTGAGGATTCTAAACCTGTGTAACCAAAAACCAAGTGAGGTCTGGACAAAGCAATCCATGGGGCCCTCAAGGTGTTCCTATAGATAGATACAATTTTCTAGTCAGTTCTCAAAATACTGGTCCCTTGCTGAGTAATTACCCTAAATATTTAAGGTCGCCTGATAATGGTAACCCCGAAAGGGAGCATAATTTGGAGAATTGACCATATGGGCACATACCCTAACTCCTAAACCCTAAACCCTAAACCCTAATGATACACCTAAACCCTAAACCCTAAACCCATAGAGCCTGGAGTAAGTCTTGCCCGGTGGCTGGGCGAAAGTGACATAGGCGTCGGGCTTCTTCGAATCCAGCTGCACGGCAGAGCGAAAGCTCTCGCGGACCTTTGCCCAAAAGAAAAATACCTCCTGGGGTTCAGGGTTTAGGGTTTGGGGTTTGGAGTTTAGGAATAATATGCCTCAAATCAGATCAGGGATCCCTGTTTGGTTTAACGTATATTTTCTTAACTAGGGGGGTATTGGGATCACTGGGGGGCCATGAATCTGTGTTCTAAGGGCCCGAAATTGTGCTATAAGTCTCCTGACTTCGGACACAAGTCTCTTAACTAAAGAAAGCTAGTATAGGAGGCCCTCCTGGTTTAGGGTTCAAAGGGTTTAAGGCTTTAGGGTTTAGGGCTTAAAGGGTTTAGGGTTTAGGGTTTAGGGTTTAGGGTTTAGGGTTTAGGGTTTAGGGTTTAGGGTTTAGGGTTTAGGGTTTAGGGAAGCATGGCAAGTCGAAGCTTGCTTTGACAGGGAGTTCCCAAAGACGGCTTTGGCAGGTGAACTCCCTGATCTCTCAACCCTTACATGGGGGTTTCCGTAACCCTAAACCCTAAACCCTTTTTGTGGGTTCCAAAGGGATGAGATAGTAGTTTGGGGTATATAAGGGGTAGCCCTATGGTCGTAAACCCCCACATGTTTAGGGTGTGTTTAGGATATAGGGTCTTGCCTTGAGGTGGGGGGTGCTTAGGACTTTCTGGAAGGTATGTTGTGCCTGGAGAAAAAAACTGTAAGGTTTAGGGGTTTAGTCCCTTGAATGTGGAACTCCACCCTCCAACACCCCAGAACCCAAATACGAGGCGTATAACTCCCTAAACCCGAAACCTTCCCCAGTGCTGACGCATGTGGTCCGAGGGCGACCTAAGACCCAGAAACCGTGAATACGGGTCTACTCTGAGCCCGAGCCTTAACTGTGAAGGGGTTTTCGGATTTGTGGCCTCAAGGGTTCAGGGTTTAGGGCTTAAGGGCCCCAACAAAACACATAAACATAGGGATCCTACTGTTGGGGTACCGGGGCCCCTTTCAGAGGATTCTGGAAAGCCATGTTTGTAGAATCTTTATGTAGATGTGGTGGGTTTAGGGCAAGGACTCCAGGCTCAAGGGGGCCCACTGGGTCCCTAAAATCCCTAAACCCTAAACCCTAAACCCTAAACCCTGTAAACCCTGAGCCCAAGCTGTCAGGGTTTTTTTTGCAAGTCCCCAAAAATCTAGGGTTTAGGGAGATTCGGGTTGAGGGTTTTAGGACCATGTTCAGGATCCTTAGTATGCTAGTTGCTGTCAATGATGGTAGTATTATATAACCCCCCAAATCAAAAGGTTGAGGGCTACCTACTCTACTAAAATATGGTTTAAGGTCTATTCTTAAATCGAGGGTACTTATCGCACCTATGACAAGGCAGGAATCAGGGATATGGGGAATAGACGCAAACCGAGACTGCCACCTCGCTCAGAGTTTCGAGCGCCTGGAGCCATGTGCTTTGGACTTTGTGTTTTTGAAGTATACCCAGAGAACCAAATCAGGTATACGCCTTTTTAAGGGGCACTGGGCTCTTTAGGTACAGGGTCACGGCTTGGGTTTTGCGGAGGTGTCAAGAAGACGATCCTTCTCGGGCTTGTCGGCTCTATTCGGTTCATCGTAGCTGATACCATACCAGACACCCCTAAACCCTAAACCCTAAACCCTAAACCCTAAACCCTACACCCTACACCCTAAACCCATAGCTTAAAGGCACAAGCAGCTATTCTCTTAAAACTCTCCATCCTCGGGTGGCCCTAAAAGCCCTTCGAACAATATTTCTGAATATGATCCCATTAAACCAGTAAGGGAAAAAGTTCAAATGTCCCACGGGCCTACTTAGGATCCTATACCCTTGTCCTAGACCCAAGAGTAGCCTAGGAAAGAATCAAAGGCAAAAGGCACCCTGTTTGGGAAGGGCACCTGAATTTCAAAAGAAGGGGAATAAGGGCCTACTCTGGGTCCTAGTAGCCCTAAACCCTAAACCCTAAACCCTGAAAAAAAAGGGAATAAGGGCCTACTCTGAGTCCTGACCCTGTCCCTGAACCCTGAAGCCTAGAGCCGGAGAAGTCTGCTGCGCTTCAGGAATTCCGCCAAGGCAACAAAGGGGTTTTGGCTTCAGGGTTTAGGGTTGAGGGGGAGAGTCTGAAGTATACCATCACCCATCATCCTGGAAGAAAGCAGCGACACTAAACCCTAAGCCCCTCCACCCCCCCCCCCCCCCCCCCGAGGCGACAGAGAAAGAGAGAGAGAGAGCGAGAGAGAGAGAGAGAGAGAGAGCGAGAGAGAGAGACATGCGAATATTTACACATGCATATGCGCACATGTATGTTAGCATGTGCAATTTTCTGTATACAAACGCAAGTCTTTGCAAACTCAACACCCCCCCCCCCCAATGCAATCCTGCTAGAAAGCCACGACGACCGACGCATAAACCAGACCCTTTCACTCAAAGCCTTCGCGATCTGGCCCGAGCGGTGTAGGGCAATGGCATCGGATGTCCCTTGGTGCAATGGTGAAAAGACTATGGGTTCTTAAGGGGGGGGGGGGGTTCAAGGGGGGGGTAGGTACCTACTGTGGATGGAGGAAATCTTGCACCGCTTTTGTAAGGCCCGCCTCTGGCAACCGATTTTGTTGAGTCAGTCCCCAGAAGTGGGTGCAGCCTGTAGCAATAAGTTCACAGGCGGTGCAAGATTTCCTCCATCCACCGCAGGGAACCTAAGGGAAGCTTAGGTGGTGGGGAGTACTAGGGAACCTCGGACCCCTTGAAACCCCCCTCCCTTAAGAACCCTATAAAAAGAAGCTCAAGCATTGTTGCTTTGGGACTTCAAAAGCTGGGGCCTAAGAAGATGCAAATACTCCACGGAGTCCAGCCTGCCAACAGTCGGTTTCACGGAGGGCTTGGCACAGTTTTTTTGCTCTTATCGTGCAAGCAGGTACCCCCCAAAAAAACCATAGTTGCATGAGGCTTTTGGGTATCGGAGTCTCTGGGAAGAAGGCTCAAACTTCTTGGAAAGCTCTTATCATGGAAGCAGGTACCCCCAAAACAAATAGGCACATGGGATTTTAGGGTATTGGAGTCTCTGGGAAGAAGGCTCAAACTTCTTGAAAAGAGGGGCGGGGGGGAGAGGGGCGTAGTTTATGTCGGATTTGCCCAAGAGCAACACTGTACTTCCAAGAAAAAGGCCCGGAAAATCAAGCACTTGTCCCTTCAGGTTGCTCTAGGTAGACTACTCCTGGGCTTACAGGGCGCATCTTCGGCTTTACAGTTTAGGTTCTCGGTACCCCCAAACCCTGAACCCCAATGGTCCCGTACTGCAAACAAACCAAACTTGCAGCCCTGCCGCGTTTTTCGATCCTGTCCAGGTAGTCGACGTAAGATCCTCCCGCATTCGAAGTCGAACGGGCCCGAGACCCAAGAGAAACCTATGAATGAAAAGCTTGCCCTTCTTAAAGGGGTTGAGAAGGGAACGAGGGAAGAAGGGCCTACTCTGGGTCCTAGTAGCCCTAAACCCTAAACCCTAAACCCCAAAACCCAAAACCGTAAAACAAGGGAATAAGGGCCTACCAAGGGCCTCCAAGGAAGTCAAGCGGGTGTAGGGGGTTTGGGTATGCATGGGTGGTCAGTTCTGAGAAGCAATATGCCCTTCTGTGAGCCCTAGCTGCTGGACCCCAAACCCTAAACCCTAAATCCTAAACCCTAAACCCTAAACCCTAAACCCTAAACCCAATTATGTTGTTTCGGGGGACCCGGGCACCCTGAACGATCCTTCAACCACCCGGCCGATGAACAGGAGCAGCCAGCAGCCCGTGGCAGAAGCGTTCATGGCATTCATGGATGGGTTTAGGGTTTAGGGTTTAGGGTTTAGGGTTTAGGGTTTAGGGTTTAGGGTTTAGGATTTAGGGTTTAGGGCTTGGGGTTTGGGGTTTAGGGTTTGGGGTTTAGGGCTGGCGCGTGCAGCTCGCTGACTTGGGTTTCGATTGAGTGGGGCTTGCCTGCAACCCCAGCTCTGCACTGAGGAGGCATTAGGGTTTAGGGTTTAGGGTTTAGGGTTTAGGGTGCCCTCAAACAACAAACAAGGTCGGGAAGGTAGGGACGCAGGTAGGGCCTTGAGCCCAACCAAGCATATGGGGGATTTACGAAGGTCAGGGGCCATTTAGTATAGACCCGACTCCCTCGTAATAAGGACCCCAAGAAGGTACCCCTACCTTCGGAGACCCCCATATGACATTACGAGAGTTCCATGCTAAGCCCTAAGGTTGCACCCTTGGGTTTTGGTGACCCGTTTGCAAAAAATCCTTGAGGTAGTATAAGGTCCATATTAGGAGAATATTAAGGGGAACCTTTAGGGGTGCAACCTTAGGGGTACGAGTCTTAACCCCTTCACTAAGCAAGGACCGTACCAATTGTTTGATCCTGAGGCCCAGCTTCTGCGATGGTAATGGGAGTCTTCAGGCTTGCCTGTTCAGCGTGTTGGGTTCGGAATTTTTGGTATTTTTTGGGTTTAGGGTTTAGGGTTTAGGGTTGGGGGCGGGGGTTATATGGTTTAGAGCCATTTTGGGGTGTGTGGTTTAGGGTGTTGGGTGGGCGGTTTATCCTTGGATGCTCCCTTCGAGCCCTATGTCTTGAGAACAAGCCTGAGGTTTGGGAAATACCTAAACCCTAAACCCTAAACCCTAACCCCTAAACCCTAGACCCTAAACCCTAAAAGGGGGGGGGGGGGGGGGGGCAACGTAATAGACCGAAGAACTATTGGCATGTCCGCCTCGGTAAGGGTAGTATGGGCTAGCTGAGGGAGGAGGGTTTAGGGTTTGATTAGGGTTTAGGATTTAGGGTTTAGGGTTTAGGGTTTAGGGTTTAGGGTTCAGGGTTTAGGGTTCTCCTGAGGCAAGAACACTATACTCGCCCATAAGAGCGCACAGCCACCTAGACTACTGTTTGCTTAAGAACCCCGCAAATATGAAAATGATAATCCCTATATTTCCCTTACTAGGCAGAATATATTTTGATTTTTGGGTGGTTCGTAACTGTACAGCCATCCTTTTTTTGCTGAACGTCCGAGCCCTTCCTCTAATGTAGCTCCTTTGGCGATTTCTGCCGCTTGTGGACTCGCGCCAAACACTGACGATGGTGTTAGGGTCCCCATGTAACTCGGTACCCTCAACTCTAACCGTAAACGCTAAGCCCCCCAAATTTAGGGTTTAGGGTTCATGAGATTCGGTACCCTAAACCCGAACCATCAACGTTTTGGGTATCATCAGGGACCCTAGACTTTAAAACAACACCCCGATGACGTATACACATTCGATGCTCGGAGCTGCACAACGCCTGGGAAATCACTAACTCCTCAGCCCAAGTCCTTGCACCCCTAAACCATAAACCCTAAACCCTAGACCCTAGGCCCTAGACCGTAGACCCTAAACCCTAAACCCTCAGCCCTAAACCCTAAACCCTACATCACCCGAGACCACAGGACAGATGTGCTGCTCTTCCAAGCCAAGCTCTGTGATCTGCGAACTGCTTCGCAGCGCAGAACACCTCTGCTTCCAGGATGGGCTAAGGGTGTCGGGTTTGAGGGTTAACTGTTTAGGGTTTAGGGTTTAGGGTTTAGGGTTTAGGGTTTAGGGTTTAGGGTTTAGGGTTTAGGGTTTAGGGTTACCTATCGGGTTCTCTTAAGGGAGGGGAGTTCAAGGGGGGTATGCAACCCAGGGTTCCCGAATACTCCCTACTACTCCCTGAGGCTCCCCAAGCTTCCCTAAGGTTCCTAGATACCTACCCATGAATGAACCCCCCCTTCCGGTAAGATCCCTGGAGGGGGGGGGGGGGATCCCTCCTGAGAAATGAATTTTCCCAGCGGCCCTGTCCGAAAGTTCTGTAGATAGCCGGCTTTTTTAGTGCTTGTAGGTGGGGTTCACGAGGTTCACTTAGGGTTTAGGACTTTGGGGTTGAGGGTGCATAAGGATTGCTTCGGGCTTACAGGGCTTTTGGGGTTTCTAGGCTCTACGATTTCCGACGATCCTTCAAATGGGCGGGCCCTTTATAGGGGTGATTTTGGGATGATCAGGGTCTGGAAGCCCATCCTGCTTCCCTCACGCGCAGATCAGAAAACCTTAGGATTTAATTCGCCTAGGGCTTAGCGTTTAAGGGTCTTAGGGTCTTAAGGTGTCTCGGGGTTTTGCCGGTTTGCCTCCTAAACCCCCACAAGGAAAGTAAGACGACTAGAGAAGGACCTTGGCAGGTTGGCAGAGTCACCCGCGCAGTCTGAACGTACCTTGGATGATGTTTCTGTCTCAAAGAGCCCAATACCCTTTACTCAAAGGATATACCATTAAGTAAAAAGGGGTCCAGAATTTGATTGAAGGTATATGCCGTTCCCTAAACCCTTTACTCAAAGGATATACCATTAATTAAAAAGGGGTCCAGAATTTGATTGAAGGTATATGCCGTTCCCTAAACCCTTTACTCAAAGGATATACCATTAATTAAAAAGGGGTCCAGAATTTGATTGAAGGTATATGCCGTTCCCTAAACCCTTTACTCAAAGGATATACCATAAGTCCATAAGTTATAAATTAAAAAGGGATCCAGAATCTGATTGAAGGTATATGCCGTTACCAAGAGGTATTGGGCTCTTTGGCCTTGAAGCTGGGACCGTCTGTTCTGTGGCTTGCAGCTGCGCCTGAAATTCAGCAATCAAAAGATCTGCGCTGCCTATTTTCTCGCAGGATATGTAGCACATCAGATGGTCTTAGTATGACTACTACTTGCTTAAGAACCACCCAAGAAATCAAGGAAACTAACCCGCAGCCTATATTGCCCTTATAAGGAAGAATGTGTTTTTGTTTTTGGAGGGGGGGGGCTCTTAAGCAATACGTAGATGAAGGCGTGTATGAAGGTGCTGGTCGATTCCAGAGGTCTTGAGCCAAGCTCGCAAAAACGACCGACAGTAGCCTGTCGCACGCAGACAAACGACGAAGTGCAGGTGCAGCTTCTCGATCTGTACCCACTTGGAGGTTCATGGTACTTATAACGCAGTTAAAAGTGGACCTATACCCCACTTATAACCCCTCAAGTGCCCTAACATGGTGATAATGGGGATATATGTACAGTCATAATTGGGTTACTAAGTACCATGAACCTCCAAGCACAGAACCCAAAGCCCAATACTGCGTAAAACCATGACCCTGAACTCTAAGCCCACCATGAACCACAAGCGGCGAGAGGGGACCCTGAACCAACACCTCAACTCTAAACCCTAAACTCTGAGCCCACAGTGAACCACGCGGTGGGGGGGGGGGGGGGGGGGGTGGAGTGAAAACCCTACACCCTAAAGAAAACCCTAAACCCTGAACTCTTAGGGCCGATAGAACTTGAAACTTTGTTCCGGTGTATAGGGCGACACTCGGATTCAGGGTCTGTTCCACCATCTGCACCTTAAACCCGAAACCCAGACCCTAAACCCACCTTCGACTTTTGGTCCCAAGAGAAACCTATGGTTTCAACGGGGTGTTATAATGGAACCTGAACCCTAAATCCTAGACGGGGCTTAGGGTGTAGGATTTAGGGTTTAGGCCTCAACCCTAAACCCTAATCCTAAGACCCCAAACTCACTTCAAGGCTTGCTTGGGCGATCCAAGCGCCAATAAGCAATTTGTTGGGGGTTTCGGGCTTCTGGGTTTTTAGGGATTTAGGATAATTGTTGTTTTTTTTGTTGTTTTTTGTTTGGGGTTTTTTAGGGTTTAGGGCTTTGGGCGTTTTGGGTTTTGAGGCTTTGGGGCTTGGGGGTTTCAAGGTTTTAGGGTTTTAAGGTTTCAGGGTCGTAGGGTCGTAGGGTTTTGGGGCTTTAGAGTTTTAGGGAAGTGGGTACAATGTCGAGTTAGAATTGGGTGATCCTACACTTCCTAGTGATAGCCACATGGCACTCGACTAACATGCTCATATTTACATCGGAGCCCCTCCTGCTTCATGGAGTCTGCCGTCGGACTGGCGAGAAGCAATGGCAAGAATAACTGCCCCCTCCCCCCCAAACCCTAAACCCTAAACCCTGCACCCTACACCCTAGACCCTAGACCCTCAACCCTAAAACCTAAGCCCCCCCCCCCCCCATCCTTTCCCGAAAGAATTTCGGCACCGCAACCACATGACACAACCCCCCCCACGACCTGTTTCACAACCTCGTTTTTGTGTCAATGCTCGAAATTCCTCATTTGCAGGCGCCGCACATGGCACGAAGTTTTCAGGGGTGGTGGTGGTGATTGGACATCCGTCTCTGATATATTCCGGAATTCGCAACTCCCCCTCCTATTTGTCCTAAACCCTAAACCCTAAACCCTAAATCCTAAGCCCTAAACCCTAAACCCTAAATTCTACTAGGACGATTGCAGATCAAGTTGCAAGCAATGGTCTTCACCCTGCGGCGCATGCCGACACCGCCACCGTCTCGATGTGCTTCTGAGTCGCCCTGAGTGCTTCAGGAATGCTTTGGTTTTTGGTTTAGGGTTTAGGGTTTAGGGTTTAGGGTTAGGGTTCAGGGTTTATAGGGCTTAGGGACTCGGGGTTTTCAGGGTTGAGGGTTTGGGTTTAACACTTTGAAGCCAGGGTTCCAACGTTTTTGGGCGCCCTGGAGGATGTTTTGCTCCCTTCCTCTCCAGAGCTCAAAGACCGCAATCCCTAAACCCTAAACCCTAAACCCCAAACCCCAAACCCTTAACCCCAAACCCTAAACCCCAAACCCAGCTTAAGGGATCTACCCTAAACCCTAAACCCCAAACCCTAAACCCCAAACCCAGCTTAAGGAATCTACCCTAAATTCACAACAACGGGTGCCTGATATATGATTCAAGGTTCCTTCATTAAGGGTTGTAGGCTCTCTGGGGCCCCTAAACACCCTAAACCCTAAACCCGAAACCCTAAACCCTAAACCCTAAACCCTATATAAACCTAAACCCTAAACCCTAAACCCTAAACCCCATGTCGAGACCGGGCGGCCAGCTCTTCACGCAAGACTCCGAGCTGCAGAAGACGCACTGCCACCTGTAGTGCACTTTTAGGGGAGGGAGGGGGTTTAGGGTTTAGGTTTTACCTGTAGTGCACTTTTAGGGGGGGAGGGGAGGGGGTTTAGGGTTTAGGGTTTAGGGTTCAGGGTTTAGGGTTTAGGATTTGAGGGTTTAGGGTTTAAGGTAGGGTTCGGGTGGGGGGGGGGGGTGGGGGGGGGAGTGCGGGTGGGGGGGGGGGGGGGGGGGGGGGGGGGGGGATTGTGAAATTTAGTTTGCGGCGGGAGTTTAGGGCTTGGGATATCGAACAATGCGTAGCATAAAGCTTAGGGTTGTAGACGGAGAGGAGCCCGGAGAATAAAATGACTGCCAAATCAACCCCAGCCACTTGTACGACCTGAAGAGGCTGTTGTTGTAGACCTTGCAGCGGGCCGGGTCTGGGGTTGAAGTTGAATGTTTAGGGGGCCGAACGCCGCATCCCAAACGAAAGGTACCTGCAGTCGATGCAGAAGGATATTTGCTCTTCCTGAAGGGCTTAACATACATGCATTGCATTACATTACATTACCTTACATTACATTACATTATATTACATTACATTACAGTACATTACATTGCATTTCATTACATTACATTACATTGCATTACATTGCATTACACATTACATTTCCTTACACTTACACTTACACTTACACTTACACTTACACTTACACTTACACTTACACTTACACTTACACTTACACTTCGTTTCATTTCCTTACAGTACATTCACACATACACTACTCTACATATAATGTATATATATATATATGCTTGGTAGCCCCGTATCCGTATTATGATAAGGGTACCCTTTCTGGGGTTGGTTGCTGTATAAGGGAACCTAGAACCACAAAAAAAGGCTATCAAGTATATACTGTTTTTTTTCGCTAGGTAGGGGCCTTCGGGTTTTTCAGTTTCAGGTCTTTCTGGCGCTCTTCCCCGTTGGGTAGCAGTAAGGCAATTCGCCAAGGGTCCAAGTCCTCTCAGCAACCACTTTATGAAGCCAACACCAGAAGCTGAACCCATACTCTTATGGTTTAGGGGTTTTGGGATGTAGGGATTTAGGGTCTAAGGCCAACCCCAGACACTGAACCCATACCCTTAGGGGCACACCCGAAACCCCGAAACCCTTTAAACCCTTCAACCCTGAGGGCTGGTAGGGCTACCCGACACCGCCCGACACCCTACTTGGAGGTTGATGGTACTTATTAATTATAACTGTACTTATAACTGTACATATAACTATATGAGTACACCCCATAAACCTGCTTCCGAAACGAAGCAGTTCCCAGACGATTCCGAGGTTGAGGGTATGGGTTTGGAGCGGCAACCCCCCGCCCCAAACCGCTCTAAAACCCGAAAGCTTTAACCCAATCCGAAAACCCTAAAGTCCAGACCCTACACCAGTCAGACATGCTGCTACTTACAGCATTCCTGAAACCCTTGACAACTCACCTCCATCATGGGGCCTGAACCGAGATCCCACCGCAAGAGCCCAGGCATCAATCAACAAAACGCCTTTTGTGCAAAACTGGAGTCCAAGAAAGAATTCGAAACCCTCCCTCCGCCCAGCAACAACAAGAACACTTAGAAACCTTGCTATATGAGCCCAACACCTTGTTTTGTTCCAGGATATGGCCATCAAACAGGTTATGGCCAAAAACAAAAAACCTTGTAGGATCCATCCTATGTTGCCTGCTTTGGCTTCTGCAGATGCAGGCCCCGACCCACGAGTAACCTAACAAGGGTGCCCTTTTTGTCGGTTTGAAGGGGCTTATAAGGAAACCTGCACCCTACAAGAGGGACTAAGGGCCTCCGCCGGGTCCTAGTTACCATAAAGCCTTTATCAAAAACCCTAAACCCTAAACCCTAAACCCTAAACCCTAAACCCTAAACCCTACTCCGGCTCCTCGAAGCTAGGAGAATTCCGAGGGTTTTCGGCCTGCCGCACCCAGCACCAGGCGTCCTCCTCGGCCTTCTCGAAAGGCTGAGGGGGCTTGGGGGACTACTTGTTTAGGGTTTAGGGTTTAGGGTTTAGGGTTTAGGGTTTAGGGTTTAGGGTTTAGGGTTTAGGGTTTAAGGATTAGGCTTCGGGATGCTCGCCCTTAAACCTGGATGTCTTGCGGGATGTTCAGAGAAAGAAAAACGCCTATGAAAACCCCATCACTGGGTTTACAAAGGCTGGACCCAAGAGTAACCCAGGCATTAAAAGGGTACCCTTTTTGGCTTTAAGGGGGTTGTAAGGGACAACCCTAACAAAAGAAGCAAATCACATCACTGGGTTTACAAGGGTACACGCATAACAACCTTTTCGACGCAGCCAACATAAGCGAACACGGGTCAAATACCTCTGCAAAGATCGAACCACGCGCAAGCGTGGTGCGGGTGCCGGGACTGCTTGGAGCCAGTTGGGATGGATTTCTAGTTTTGGGGTTGGCCTGTGTCGGTTATAGGCTAGGGTGAAGGGCTAACTAGGGCTTCTGCTTCACAACCGTGAAGGGTTGAACATAAATCTCGAACCCTGAACCCTAAAGCCTGAAACCTAAACCCTAGACTATTATTTGCTTAAGAACCCCCCCCCAACAAAAGTGTAAAGTGCTCTTCCTTACAAGGGCATTATAGGGATTATTCTCTTTCATTTCAGGGGTGAGGGGCGGGTGGGGGTATGTTCTTAAGCAAATAGTAGTAAACACCAAGCTCCAAGTGCGGTCATTGAATGTCCATGTCGCAAGCTTCCACATGTGAAAGACGGGGAGCCCTGTTTCCCTGGGAATTAAAAGGGTTTAGGCTTTAGGGTTTAGGTTTTAGGATGACGCAAGAGTAGCCTAGGAATAAAGAGGATGCCTGTTTTTGTTTAAAGGTGTTATCAGGGAACCTACACCCTAAAAAAACAGGGAACAAGGGCCTACTCCGGGGAGGGTACTTGGAAGCTCGTTTGACTTAGTAAGTCGACCTGGTATCCCCTGAAACCTTCTTTTAATCCCCACAACCCACCTTTCTAACCAGAAACCCCAAACCCTAAACCCTAAACCCCAAACCCTAAACCCCACCTTGCTAAGTCAAAAGGGTTTCCAAGTACCGCCTGGGTCCTAACTGGGCCACCCAGGAGCAACATAGGAACAACAGCAGGCTGCCCTTTTGGTTCAAGTGGGTCGAAGCCCCTAGATCAAAGCTTTGGGGTTTAGGGTTTAGGGCTAGGGCTTAGGGTGTTTAGGGTTTAGGGGGGGTCAGGGTTCAGGGTTCAGGGTTCAGGGTTTAGGATTTAGGGTTTAGGGTTTAGGGTTTGGGGTTTGGGGTTTAGGGTTTGGGGTTTGGGGCTCCCACCCTCCCAGCGACTCTGGGGTCTCCTCGAAGACGGATCTTGGAGGCCAGTTCTGCAACCAAACAATGGCGAAGATCAACATGCCCAGCCTTGGGGCTAAGGGTTCAGGGTCCAGGATTTAGGGTTAAGGGTTCAGGGTTTAGGGTTCAGGGTTTAGGGTTTCGTCGGCGCAGTGGGCTGTCAAGGTTCTCGGGATTTGAGTTTAGGTACAGTATTTAGGGTTTCTGGTTCCAGGATTCTTGTAAACCCAAACCCTGAAGCCCCAACCCTAAACCCTGAACCCTTAACCCTTAACCCTAAACCCTAAACCCTGAACACCTAACTTTGAAGGCAGGGTAATGCGTTTCGGGTGGTCTGTCTTGCAGCTCCCAGTCTTTTGTACTGAAGATTAGACCCGATGTCGCAAATGCTGCGGATAGGGTCCCCTAAGATGTTTCTCATGATATAGGGTTTAGGGTTTAGGGTTTAGGGTTTAGGGTTTAGGGTGGCTACATAGGGATTGAGGCCCATGGAACTTCATTTTTTCCCAGTCAAACCCCGAACTTAATTGTTAATCCCGGTCAACCCCGGAAATTTTTTCAGACCTTGTACCTCAGGCCGACGCTCCTAGCCCTGAGCCTACATGAAAGAAGGATGAGGGTTTGTCATGGATTCCCCTTCTGCCCCCCCCCCCCTGGTTCCCCCCCATGATTAAGGCTATTTAGCGATCAGTAAGCCGAACCTAACTAGGCTATGCCCGGGGGAATTTAGGGGAGGGGGGGTAGGGAAACCGATGAGTTTGGGGTTTAGGTTACCCGTACCTCCAATCCAGGGCACAAGCACACCGCTGCCACTGCCTCGAAGATGTACTCGAAGTTGTGCATCTTCAGTGGTCGGCGGCGGGAACCCTAAACCCTAAACCCTAAACCCTAAACCCTAAACCCTCAAAGCGTGGCCTGACTAAATCTGCAGCAGGCCACGCGCGAAAGCAAGTTGGAATCACGCGTGGTGTGGTCAGTTCTGTCAAGTATGGATCGTTTTGTGACATTGCTAAGACAGGCCAAAGCCTCCTAAATTCAACCCTGAAATTAAGCCGTACTACGCGCACGCCTCCCAAATCGTTCAAACCTTGACAGACCAACACCCCTTTATTAAGAAATATACCGTACATCAAAATAAAGATCCCTGTATATGTTAAGGTACCTTCCTTTAATTGAGGGGTACTGTGCTCTCTGGAAAGTAAATCTCTGATACCCTAAGCCCTAAACCCTAAACCCTAAACGGCCTTCAGGTTCCGTCCCACCAGGATGCCCATCAGCAGCCCAGACAGCCAACCGCCTCAGTCGGATCCAGGCAGGTACTTTGCGCTTTAAGGGCCAAGTCTACAGAGCCTTTTCACCCCAAGCTGGAGCCCAAACCCTAAACCCTAAACCCTAAACCCTCAACCCTCAACCCTCAACCCTAAACCCTCAACCCTCAACCCTCAACCCTCAACCCTCAACCCTCAACCCTACCAGATGACCCACCTGAAAACCAGGCACTACAGAACCCTCGTTTCCAAGTTCCCGCCACCCGGCACGGATGAAGGTTGGGAAATCCTCAGCCATGCAGGCGGCCCCCCCCCCCAAAACCCGCAACCCTCAACCCTAAATCAGCTATCCGAGACGCCGAAGTGGCTCCCATGGCTGATGTTGGTACCCGCTCCCCCGAGCTCGTTCACAAATGACACGGTCGAGTCGATGAAGATCAAGAAGAGGAGCCTGGTGACAGAGCCCTGCACGATGCCGTGGTATTTAGGGTTCGGGGTTTAGGGTTTCGGGCTAGGGTTTAGGGGTTAAGGATTGAGGGTTTGCGGCTTTTTGCGTGCTGAGCAGCCCCAGTCTAGACCCAAGAGTAGCCCATAGCTGGGAATCAAACATGTGCCCTTTTTGGTGTGAAGGGGACAAAATGGGAACCTAAACACTGAAAAAAGTGAATAAGGGCCTACTCTGGGTCCGCGCAGTTCTAGGATTGTGTTGACTTATTTGTTGGACATGGCCGGCCCCTTCCCTCGAACGGCGACATGCCGGAATACAAACACACATGCAAAGACACACTCAAACATCAACATAATGTACAGCAAAAGCTGCACACAAACAAGAATCGAACAATATACAGTGAACATGCATCAACACCGATGTTGCGCATTTGCCCAAGATTCTAGGGCTAAGGGGCATTCCGACAGCATACAAAACTTTATATGAAAAAGGGACTTCAATGGGAACCCCAAACAGGAAAGCCCAAGAATAGAGTAGGAGTATAGAGGGCATATAAGGACTCTGGTAGGCATATGCCTATTATACTCCTACGATATTGATGGGGTGCCCTGTTTTGGGGTTCCATTAAAGCCCTTCTTTCTTACTCTGATCCCAGATTTGCACGATAAGGGGCAAGGCGGTCTTGCCGTACCGGAACTCCATCTGGCCCCAGTTCATGATCACCTTGTTCAGGGGTTTAGGGTTTAGGGTTTAGGGTTTAGGGTTTGCGGCTGAGGATTTAGGGTTTACGGGCAAGGCTAGTGTCTCAGCCCGAAGCCCTGAACTGCACCTTAAACGGAGGGCCACAAAATCTGGCTTTCCCACCCCTCCCGTCCCCTCCCCCCCCCCCACCCCACCAGTCTTCGACTCCTTGTGCACTGAATAGAGCAAGACCGACCCTGCAGGCGAGGGGGTTTCACCCTATGAGCCCTAAACATTAAACCCCAAACCCTAAACCCTAAACCCTACATGTTTGAGGCTTCGGGTGTAAACGCAGCTGAGGGAGCCTCCCAAACTCCAAGGGCCCAAGACTCAAGCACTTCGGCCCATTGTAGTGGGTTTAGGGTTTAGGGTTTAGGGTTTACTGTTTAGGGTTTAGGGTTTAGGGTTTGGGGTTTAGGGTTTAGGGTTTAGGCAATTTTCGGGGCTAAGGCGTGGGCTTTGGGGGCTTCGCGTTTAGGGGATTGTTAGGGGTTTGGGGTTTGGGGTATAGGCTTTGGGGTTTAGGCTTGGGGGATTGGAGTTTAGGGTTGGGGGTTAGGTTTTTGGGTTTAGGATTTCGGCTTCAGGTTTTAGGGGTTTAGGCGTAAGGTTCTTCGCAAGGCCAAGGGGCATCGGCATAGTGCATGCCCATCAGGGCATAGACACCGGCAGACATACCAACCAGTTGCGTGCTGCTCTGCAGAATGGCATCAAACGCTGCCCCGAAGGCGACGCCGACGTTCAGAAGACTCGGCGTCAGATGACCCATAAAACAGAAAAACACACACACACACACACACACCCACCCTCATCCCTCAACCCTGCAAACGGGAAAGCCCTATAAGCCCTACAGGCTAAACTCAAAGAGCCGACCATGACCCTGAACTAGATTCGCCAGGCAAAGGGGTACGGCACCCTTTGTTGCTTCATAAGGTGTATAAGGTTTAGGACCTACGGACACACACACATACTACCGGCACACCCAGAGAGAACGGTACCCCTCAACCAAGCAATCACGCAGCATGAGTTTAGGGCACATTCATCAATCAAAGCCCTGAACCCTCAACCCCTAAGCCCCCCCCCCCCCCCCCCCCCCCCCCCCCCCGTACGTGGTAAGGAATATTCCTCAACCCTAAACCCTAAGACCTAAACCCGAAACCCTGAACCCAAAAGTGGTCCCTGGGCGCAAGCTCCGACGCTCTCTGGTACCTTGGGGGTGCCTTGGGCCTGGGACGCAGCTGGGTCGTGCCCTTCCAGCTTATGTTAGCTTAGGGCTTAGGGTTTCGGGTTTGGGGCTTACGGCTTCGGGTTTAATTAGGGTTTAAGATTAGGCCCGTCTAGGTCGCCTTTATGATATCATAGAAACCCCTTACCAAACTAGGGAACCCTTCTGACAAGGAGCCCTCCTCCACCCCAAACAAAGGATGCTACTTACGAGCAGCGCGTCCGATGTTTGCAGCTAAGCTGCATGGCCAGGCGTACATGACCGTGGAAGCCCTTGCGAGAATTTGAAGTTTAGGGTCTAGGGTTTAGGTTTAGGGTTTAGGGTTTAGGGCTTAGGGCTTAGGGATGGCAGCGACCGAAGTCAAAAGGGGCTTAGGCCACGGGGCTCAGGATAAGGTAGGGTTTAGGGTTTAGGGTTTAGGGTTTAAGGTTTAGGGCTTAGGGTTTAGGGCTTAGGGTTTAGGGTTTAGGGTCTAGGGTACCAGAACCCGGATCCAAAGACAACAGGGCTCCAAGAACACTCTAATGGTAGCTTAGGATTAATGAAGCCCCCCCCCCCCCCAGATTGAAGGCGGACAGTTTCCGTTCGGATCTCAGTTCAGGGACCCTAGACCCTAAACCCTAAACCCTAAACCCTAGACCCCAAACCCTAAACCCTAAACCCTAAACCCTAAACCCTAAACCCTAAACCCTAAACGCTAAACCCTACCTTATCCTACCTAGGGTTCACTGTCTAGGGTTTTCGGGTTTGGGATTTTGGGATCCCACGGTTCGTTCGCGGCTGAGGCAGCCCCTTCAGCAAGACATCGGATGCTGGAGGCCCACGTTTCAGGACCCTCAACCCTAAACCCTAAACCCTAAACCCTAAACCCCTTACGGAATTGGACCCCGTCCTGAGTCATGGCAAAAGTCGTTGCTGCTAGGGCCCCTTCTCTTCCGGCCAGTTCCAAGCCCCAAAAACGCCCGGCCCGAAACCCTGAACCCTAACAACCCTAAACACCCTCAAACAACGTTAAAACCCGTTAAAACCCCTGAACACCCTTAAAGCCCTTAAAGCCCGAAACCCTAGGAACGAAGGCCACGGCTGAATTCCCGAATGTCGGAAAAGCTGGCAGATGCTTTCGTTTTTAGCTCGGAGAATTGGCTCAAGATGACAACGACAGATTGCCGAATCCTACTCCCCCAACGACCAGGGTTTAGTGCGGGTTTAGGGTTTAGGGCCTAGGGCCAAACACAGTGAACTCCTGTGATCGTACTACCCGGAGATGTGACGAATAACCGTCTAAACCCTGATTTGAGGCCTTAAAGACGGTTTCGCAACTGAACCCCCTCATCATCTTCAGCTAGGATCTTTACACCCCCAAAAAAAGCCCGGGGCAAGCTAAACCCTGAACCCTAAACCCCCTCACACCCTAAACATCCACGTCTCCCAATCTCCCAAAACCAGACGTATGCCCTTTCGCCTCTTTTGATGCAACTCCTCACCCTAAACCCTAAACCCTAAACCCTGAACCCTAAACTCCGAACCCTAGACTCCCCTCGAGGTGTGGCCAAAAGATCGAGTTGGAGAAGATCTCCGTTCTTTTGATATCAAGACCGAAACGTCCTAGAAAGAGATGCAGGTTTAGGGTCTAAGGGTTTAGGGTTTAGGGTTTAGGGTTTGGAGTCTAAGGGTTTAGGGTTTAGGGTTCAGGGTCTCGAGGGCTTAGGAAGCCAACGGCCGAAACCGATGAAAAATCAGGTTTGGCCTCTAGCGGGATGGCAACGATGATGAGCATCACAGAGTTGCCAAGGATGTGCATCAAGGAGGCGTGTGAAAACCTAGGCTTTGGGGCGCTTTCTGGGGTCTCAACCCTAAACCTTTCAGGTCTTTAGGGGCTTGTAGGCGTTAGGCTTTTGGGCGCCGCGCCTTCTAGCGAGCTTACACGCCTGCAGGAGGTGGCAATCCTGACTGACACACTCCTCCCTTGCGCTTCACACCCTAAACCCTAAACCCTAAACACCTAAGTGTAGTTAGTATAGTAAGGGGGCTAACCCTAAACCCGACTGAGCCCTAAACCGTAAACCCTAAACCCTAACGTTCTCGCAAGGGCTTCCACGAAACCTGGACCCCAACCCCCAAACCCTCTAAGCTCTTCTGTCCGTCGGGCCGCTGATATGTCAGCCACCTTCCAGTGTGAGGTTCTGAGGTGGAACAACATGTGCAGTAGCTCCCTTAAGGACCCCAAGACCTACTTGTTTGCCCAAAAGCCTAAAGCCTAAAGCCTAAAGCCTAAACCCTAAACCCTAAGCCCTAAACCCTAAACCCTAACTTAAGAACCTTATCAGAGAGCCCCTTCATGGATTCTTAGATAAAAATGCTGGCTTGGGGTTCTTCAGGTACGGGTTTAAGGCTTGGGGCTTCCAGAGCCCCTATAAACGGGTTTAGGGTTCAGGGTTCCGGGTTCAGGGTTTAGGGTTTAGCGTTTAGGGTTCACCAGATTTGAAGACATATGTTGGCGTTGAGGGTTGTCGAGGATGAGAAGGTTGAGGGATTCAGAAAAAGAAGCGCGCTGGCTACTGTAGGGCATATGAAGTAGGTTTTTTTTGTTTTTCTGAGTTTTTCTTTCTTGCACTGCCAAAAGGACACCCGGTATATACACTCACCAAGACTTACTTCTCCAAGACCAAGGAGAAAAAAAGGCTGAACTTGACTGTTCCTACTCAACCAGGAAACCCAAAAAGTTTAAAGTTCAGCTAAAGGCGGAGAAAGAAAAACGGTAAAATATATCCTGCTTCATATGGGTGGTTGTCAAAATCATGGTCCCTTTTTGGATCCCTAATATAATACGGCACCTAATATTTAGGGTACCCCAAAAAGGGACCATCATTTTGACAACCACCCATATGGGGCTGAGCAGGACTCAGGATTTCAGAGCTTGGGAGGGGCGTCTCTTGGCTCGCGGCCAAGTCTCGGAGGTGCAGAGGGGTTTTGGGGCTCATAGCCCCTAAACCCTAAACCCTAAACCCTAAACCCTAAACCCTAAACCCTAAACCCTAAACCCTAAACCCTAAACCCTAAACCCTGAACCCAATTTTCGAAAAAAATAGTCTGCTTTGGGGCTCTCAAGTAGGGAAATACTTCTTGCGTCCTCAAGCTTGGACCACGCTAAGCCATAAAACGCCCTAAGCCCTAAGCCCTAAACCCTAAACCCTAAGCCCTAAACCCTAAACCCTAAACCCTAACCCCTAAACCCTAAACCCCAAGCAAGCCTCCAGCCCTGGTAGCGAAGATCCACGCAGTCGCGCTGCAGCATGAATCCCGTCTCGCCAGGCCAGACGGACCTGGAGACAGTAGTTTAGGGTTTAGGGTTTAGGGCTTAGGGTTTAGGGTTTAGGGTTTAGGGTTTAGGGTTTAGGGTATCCTAGACTTTGAAGTAACCAGGGAGAAAAAAAGTAGAGACTTTTACTTCCTAATTGTTCCTTCAAGGAACAGGTTAAAAACAAACAAAAGTATAAAGGTACGGTACTCCAAACCCAGGGATCAGGGTTGAGGGTTTGGGGGTCTAGGGTTTGGGGTTTAAGGTTTTGGGGTTTAGGGTTTTGGGGTCGAGGGTTTGGGGTTCGGTCGGACTTGCGCCGTTCGATCAATGAAGAAGGGCATTATATGGCGTACTGGCGTCACACAAATAGTCTACGCTGGTCTATAAGCCGCAGGCAAGAATCAACCGAAGCGACCCAAGAAATGAGGTTTGAGGTTGAGGGCCTACTTGGAGGTTGATGGTACTTATTAACCCAAGTACTTCGTTGTCCAGTACCTAGGGGAACTAAAGGGTAACCTTTGGGATTATATGGGGATTATATTACCCCAAAAAGGTTAACGGTTGCCTACTCTACGACTGAGAGTACAACTGCACTTACACCCCAATCATAACCGAGGTTTGTGTTGGGGGGCTTGGATGAGGGTTTGTAAAAGAAGTTATACATTGAGGGTGGAGGGATCTGGGGGGTTAAAGCGTTCAGAGTTGCTTGGCTGTGGAGGTTTAGGGTTGAGGGATCTTGAGGGGCTGTTTGTCTAGGGACCCTAAACCCTAAACCCTGAACCCTAAACCCTAAACCCTAAACCCAAAACCTGAAACCGCAGAAGCTTCAATGCTGCGGGTCGTCGGCATTCTCACGTTTGGACCCTCTGAGCCTCAAGCTCGAGGCCCGCCCCTCCTGCAGAGGTGCTTAAGGTTACGGCTTCTTCGGGCTACGGGGTTTTAGGGTTTAGGGTTTAGGGTTGGGCTTTGTAGGGTTAAGGGTTTTTTTCAGGGCGAAGGGTTTCAGGGTTTAGGGCTTGGCAGGGTTCAGGGTATTTTATGGTGAAGGGCGCTTCGGGCGAAGGATGTTTAGGGTTTAGGGCGTTTTAGGGTTAAGGGCTTTTAGGGTTTAGGGGTGTTTAGGGCCAAGGGTTTTCAGGGTTCAGGGTTTGAGGGTTTGGGGTCTAAAGAGGGTTCAAAGAGGGTTTTCAGAACGTTCACAGGGTTGAAAGAATGTTTATACAGTTCAAAGTATAGTAGAAGCCAAAAAGTTGGAAACTCAAGAGCCTCAATCCCTAAGAGTAAAGTATAGGGAATCCCAGCACTATTTGTCCTTGAAAAGGTTTCCAACTTTTTGGGGTTTACTGTAGGTTCATAGGGTTTCAAGAAGGCTTATAGGGTTGAAGGAGGGCCTTGGGGGGGTTTAAGGAGGTTTATGGAGTCTAAAGAAGGGTTCTGCGATTTTGTGAGGGTGTTTTGTGGCGTGGTGGGGTTTAGGGTTTAGGGTTTAGGGTTTAGGGTTTAGGGTTTAGGGCTTAGGGTTTAGGGCCTGAGTTGTTGCAGGACACTTGTGGGGCTTAGGTTCATTCGGGTGAAAGGGCCGGGTGGAAGGCCGATGCTGGGGAAGGATCTGAACAGGAAGTCGCTAAACCCTAAACCCTGAACTCTAAACCCTAAACCCTAAACCCTAAACCCGAAACACTACAACCCTACAACCCTAAACCCTAAACCCTAAAAGCGCAAGGCAGCGGCCCAAGCTACCAGTGGACTGACGGAAAAGCCTTCACATCCCCGCAGGCAAGAAGGCACCTAAAGGCAACCTCACATATCATTCACCCTAAGGGTCCATGTACCTATATGGTACATACTTGGCCCCTAAAGCTGCTATATGGGAACCCCTTGAAGGCCCAAGTATATACTATATGGGTACATGGACCCTTAGGGTCACCAAACCAGGGAAGCCCTAGGACCGGGTTTAGGGTTTAGGGTTGCTGAGTTCATAAGCCCCCAAAACGTGTACACTTCCAGTTCTCTAGGGGAAATTAGAGTATCCCAAGAAGTGTAAAAGTGTGCTTACTCAGCTCCTAAGTTCACCAAACCACGGCAAGCCCCAGGACCGTCGCCCTAAACCCAAAATAACCCTAAACCCTATGCCCTGTACCCTGAAGAATTAACCAGAGCCATGAGTAACCTAGAAAAGAATAAGTGCCCTTTTTGGTTTTAAGGGGCTTATAAGGGAACCTAAACCCTAAACACAGGGAATAAGGGCCTACTCTGGGTCCTAGGTTAGTAGGATTTAGTCCTTAGGGTCCAGTGTAGTATCGGGTGTAGGCTGGGGCCTTTGAGCCAGTCATGGTCTCCTGCTCGGGCGTGCAGAGGATTATCTGGGTTGACCACCGGCAGAAGAGCCCACGCACCCACTGCCTTGCCGGGAGAAGCTATCCTCTCTTCTCTCCCCCCCCGACTCTTGCATGTAGGGTGGCTCAGGCTATTAATAGGGCTTCCAGCTTCTTGCGCCAACCCTTCGTGCTCACAAAAAAGAAGCACGTACACTGACCTCGGCTATCATAAGCTTCGCCACAATCCCACAGATACCAGTATCCGATGGACCAAAGAAAGACAAACACGTCCCAAGCCCCAGAACCCTGCCAGCTCCAGATGATAGGAGCAGTTGGTCCGTCAGGGCGTTTAAAGTTCCGGTACTCAGCAAAGCCTCTCTGCACCCAGGTGGCGTTGCATTGCTGTGGAGAACTTTAAGCTGTATGAGCCGGGTCTAAGGTTTAGGGTTTAGGTTTGGGCATTAGAATGAACCCTAAACTGCTTTTAGGGTTCATGGGTACAGGCGGCGGAGGTGGAATCAGCAAGCTTTGGCATGCAGATCGCAGCGCCGAGGCCACTGCCAAAGTCAGTTGCAAGAACCTCGGCTTAGGGTATGGTGTTTAGGGTTTAGGGTTTAGGGTTTAGGGTTTGGCCTATAGTTTTTGTTTCTCCTACAGTTTAGTAGTAGCTACCCCTTCATTAGTAGGCATAACCCATAAAGCTGTAGGTACACAGGGTCCCAGGAGGGTTTAGGGTTTTGGCTGTAGTTTGAGGTGTACAAGCTGAGTTTAGAGCTTGACAGGAACATCGTTGGAAGGCTTTTCACCATTCCTTCAGCAAAAGAGATGCAAGTTTCACTTAAGCCCTAAACCCTAGATCTCAAAACTGTGACTAGACCCAAGAGCAACCTGGGAATAACAAAGGGGCGCCCGTTTTAAAAAAAAGGGGCCTATAAGAAAACCAAAACCTTAAACAAAGGGACTAAGGGGCGACTCTGAGTCCTAGGTGCCCTAAACCCTAAACCCTAAACCCTAAACCCTAAACCCTAAACCCTAAACCCACCCAAGGAGCGTGAAAATAGGCCGGTACTGCCACAGGAGTGTCTCCACGGCAACGGAGCCAGACACCTGCAGCAGCCAAAGGGTCGGGCACCTGTAGGGTCTTTTTTGGGGAGGCTCAGGTTTAGGGTTTAGGGTTTAGGGTTTAGGGTTTGGGGTTTAGGGTTTAGGGTTTGGGGTTCAGGGTTTGGGGTTTAGGGTTTGGTTTAGAGTCAGGGCTTTGGGGTTCAGGGAATCCCCTCCCGGAGTTGAGGAAGCTGGGGGGCTCTGGTGTCTGTTGAGGTTCTTTAGCACTTCGGGATTGGTGACTTAACATGAGACGGGGGGGTACCTTACCTTTAGGGAAAGCCGCTTCGGGCACTGGGTGACACCCGTAAACCCCAAACCCTAAACACCAAGAAGCTCCAAATGTTTAGGGTTTAGGGTTTAGGGTTTAGGGTTTAGGGTTTAGGGTCTGTGGGCGAGGCCTGGCGCGCCATCATGATGCCTTGGAGCTCTTGAAGAGCCAGCGCTAAGGGAAAATGCCCAAAGAGCTTGAAATAAGGAATCTACCTTGGTTTAGGGTTTAGGGTGTAGAGGGTTTAGGGTTTAGGGTTTCGGGTTTAGGGTTGGGATGTTCACCCTTAGAACAACAGTCCTTAGGAGATTATAATCAGGACTGTTAGTATAAGGGGGAACTACATTGGAGCCTTTAGGTTTTAGCCCAATAGCCATGAAGACTTCTTCTGTTTCCTACATTTGCGTAGCAGGCCGCCGCCCCAACCCTAAACCCTAAATCTTGAACCCGAAAACCCTAACCCCCCCCCCCCCCGCCGCCGGCAAACACAATACTCGTATGTGTGGATCCGAAAAGGATTCATACGGGCGCTTAGGAAACATTCGATGACTACGATTTGCTTAAGAACCCTCAAGAAAGGTTACACTTTATTGCAACATGTTCTTCCAAACGGGCCATATTACGGATTATTGTCTTCCATGTTTTTGTTTGGGGGTGGGGGGGGGGGGAACCTTAAGCAAATAGTAGATGACGGCACGACAGCTTGCACGGCTGAAACAAGGAAGGGAAGACCACAGCAAGACGCTTCTCGAACCACAGTCTAAACTTCACTTGGAGGTTCATGGTACTTCTTAACCAATTACAACTGTACTTATAACCCACTTATAAGCCCCTTAAGTGCTCTAATATGGCTATCAGCACAGTTATAATTGGTTAACCAGTACAATGAACTTCCAAGCATCCCACACCCTGCCCGCCCCCCCCCCCCCTTTTTTTTTTTTGGGGGGGGGGGGGGGGGAGGGACGTTCTGTTAGGGTAAAAGAGTAAGAGATAAAATGATAAGAAGGTTTGGTAAGGAATGAGCGGCGTAGGGTTAAGCCTCAGGCATAGCAGTCCTCGAACTCTCAACCCTAAACCCGAAACCCTAATGACATGACAGCCTCGAATCCTCAAGTGTCAACCTGGAACTACCTAAAAAGACGGAGAACTTTGTGCCAAGCCCGAATCTGCCTGGACTTAGCTAGACTGGACATCCCTCTCATTGCTCCCTTAAGCCAAACAGCGGTTTAGGCCTTAAGATTGTGGACTCTGGACCCAAAAGAACAAGAAGGGTGCTCATTCTTGGTTTAGGATTTAGGGTTTAGGGATCCAAAACTACGAGAAGGGCCTTCCAGTACCTGAGAGTTGCGGGTCTCAAGACCCCCTTCAGGCCCAAGAGCTGGACAAAAGCCCTAAACACTAAACCCTGCACTCACCTTCAGGGTTTAGGGTTTAGGGGCTAGGGTTTAGGCAGTGGGGTCTGGGGTCTATATACACCCGCCCGCCCGCCCAAGAAGCCCTGCAAAATCTGGAAAACAGCCACTCTGTGGACGACCGTAGCGACCCTAGACCGGCCCCGTAAAAGTGCAAAAAACTCTGGACCCTAAACCCCAAACCCCAAATCCAAAACAAAGTAAACCCCATGCTTGAAAAGAAGACACAAGCCCTATAAACCGCAGAATTGATACATATATACATATATATATACATATATACATACATATATATATATGTAAGAGGAACCTTTATGTATTATTAGGCATGTTCTCTTTGTTTTAATATGTTCTATACTACTGAAGGTTTCGGGTTTAGGGTTTAGGGTCTAGGCTCAGGACTCATCGGGACGTCTGCTACTTGGATTATGGGATTTAGGGTCTTAATGTTGGGAGTTAGCAAGAGTGTTTAAGCAAGCTAGATAACAACAAGGAAGAAAAAGGGACGAGCCACGAGCATAATGTAGAACAAATGACAAAGAGAAGTGCCCGCACTCAGCCTCACTGCATTCATCATCTAGTCCTCCCTTCTTTCTCTTCTGTGGTTCTCTTCTTGCAGAATGAACATTTAAGACCACAAACCAATCTCATTACTTTCATCCTCCCTCTTCTCTCTGCTCTCTCCCTTCTAGCTTTCGTCTTGTCTCGTTTTCTTGTGGAAGAGAGAATGCATAACACTAGATGAGCGAAGCACATGGACGGGAAGAGAGAGAAGCAAGTACTTGTTTGTTGCATAAGGGAGACACACTCTCCCCTAGGGCAGGGGTGAGTTCCCCGGTTCGCCTTTTTTTTGCGTTCCAACGTTTCTATTCCTTTTAAAGAGAAAGAAGGGGGTAAACACAAGGACGAAGACGGTTCCCCTGTCCACTTGTGCAATTTTTTTGGACTTACCCATTCAACGAGAAGAGAACAGACAGCAAGAGGAAAGCAACAAACATTTGACTAACGTGCGGTTCTTTCAGGAGAAAAGGAGTCGGGTAACAGGAGAAGAACAACGAAGAGGTAAACATTCAAATATGTCATTCTTCTATTTACACACTGTCCTCATCTCTCCTCTCTTCCCTTTCTTGTTGGAAGAAGAAAAAAGGAAGGAAATAAACCATAAGGGGGAGGCGCCCCATCCTCTCCTCACCTCTCTTATCTCCCTCTCTGGCTTTGTTCTTGTCGGAAAGAGAGATGAATGTCCAAGAACCCAAGATCATCTCGTTACCTTCGTCCTCGCTCTCCTCTCTTCTCCCTTTTTCTCTGCTCTTTGCTTTTCTTATTGAGGAGAGAAACTGCAAGCAGTCTCGCGAAGTCGGATTTGGGGCTGCGCGCGTGCGAGTGGGGGCCTCCTTCCACAAACCCCTCGAGAGAAAGGAAACAGAAAGAAAGAACGAAACAAAGAAAGCAAGACAGACAGAAAGAAAGAAAGCAGGCAGCTGTTCGCTGCAAAGGGGTTTCGGCTCCCCTGGTGCAGGCCTGGGTTCCCTGGGCTCCTCTTCGCATAGAGTGCGGTTGAGTTCCCTTATTCCTCCATTTTGCCTTCATGCCTCCACTGCGTTCCAACTTTTCTGAGCAGTACGCACAAGACAACACTAGGAACGAACAACAAATGACAAAGAGAAATGCCCGCGCTCAGTCTCACCGCATTCATCCTCTTATCCTCTCTTTGTTCTCTTCTGTGGTTCTCTTCTTGCAGAAAGACTTACGAACGGAAGCCAATCTCACTGCTTTCATCTTCCCTCTTCTCTCTGCGCTCTCCCTTCTAGCTTTTGTCTCTTCTTGTTTTTTCTTATGGAGGAAAGAATGCATAACATTAGATGAGCGAAGCGTCTGGACGGGAACAGAGAGAGAAGCAAGTACTTGTTTGTTGCATAAGTGAGGCACACTTCTTCCCCTAGAGCAGGGATGAGTTCCCCTGTTCCCTTCCTTTTGCCTTCTGTAATGCCTCCCCAGCGTTCCAACTTCTTTCTAAGGAGAAAGAAGGGAGTAAATACAAGGACGAAGACGGTTACCCTGTCCACTTGTGCATGTTCTTTTCGTCTACCCATTCAGTGAGAAAGGAACAGACAATAGGGGAAAGCACAAGGACCTAACAAGAGTGTCTAAGCAAGCTAATAACAAGAAAAAGAAAGAGAAAGCCACGAGCAGAATGTACAAGAAAAAAGACAAGGAAGGAATAGCACATAATAAAGATAAGCGCCCTTGCTCAGTCTCACTGCATTCATCCTGCATGTGGTCCTCTTCTTGCAGAATGAAGATTTAAGAACACAAACCAATCTCACTACTTTCATCCTCCCTCTTCTCTCTGCGCTCTCCCTTCTAGCTTTTGTCTCTTCTTGTTTTCTTATGGAGGAAAGAATGCATAACGCTAGATGAGCGAAGCATCTGGACGGGAACAGAGAGAGAAGCAAGTACTTGTTTGTTGCATAAGGAGGCACACTTTCTCCCTAGAGCCGGGATGAGTTCCCCTGCTCCCCTTCCTTTTGCCTTCTGTAATGCCTCCCCAGCGTTCCAACTTCTTTTAAGGAGAAAGCAGGGAGTAAATACAAGGACGAAGACGGTTCCCCTGTCCACTCTCGCGTGTTCTTTTCGTCTACCCACTCAGCGAGAAAGGAACAGACAATAGGGGAAAGCACAAGGAACTAACAAGAGTGTCTAAGCAAGCGAACAGCAAGAAAAAGAAAGAGAAAGCCACGAGCAGAATGTACAAGAAAAAAGCACAAGGAAGGAATAACAAATAATAAAGATAAGCGCCCTTACTCAGTCTAACTGCGTTCATCCTCCATGTGGTCCTCTTCTTGCAGAATGAAGATTTAAGAACACGAACCAATCTCACTACTTTCATCCTCCCTCTTCTCTCTGATCTCTCCCTTCTAGCTTTTGTCTCTTCTTGCTTTTCTTATGGAGGAAAGAATGCATAACACTAGATGAGCGAAGCATCTGGACGGGAAGAGAGAGAAGCAAGTACTTGTTTGTTGCATAAGGGAGGCACACTTTTCCGCTCTGTTCCACTCCTTTTGTGTTCGTTAATCCCTCTCTGCGTTCCAACTTTTCTGTTCCTTCTTGTAGGGACAAAAAAGGGAGGTGCGTAAAAGGACGAAGACGGTTCCCCTGTCCACTTGTGCAATTTTTTTGGACTTACCCATTCAACGAGAAAAGAACAGACAACAAGAGGAAAGCAACAAACATTTGACTAACGCGCGGTTCTTTCAGGAGAAAAAGGAGTCGGATAACAGGAGAAGAACAACGAAGAGGTAAACATTCAAATATGTCACTCTTCTATTTACACACTGTCCTCATCTCTCGTCTCTTCCCTTTCTTGTTGGAAGAAGAAAAAGAAAGGAAATAAACAAAACATAAGGGGGAGGAGCCCTGATTTATTCTCACTGTCTTCATCCATCCTTTCCTCTCCTCTCTTATCTCTCTTCTTTGGCTCTGTTCTTGCTGGAAAGAAAGATGAATGTCCAAGAGCCCAAGATCATCCCGCTACCTTCGTCCTCGCCCTCCTCTCTTCTCCATTTTTCTCTGCTCTTTGCTTTTCTTATGGAGGAGAGAATTGCAAACAGTCTCGCGTTGTCGGATTTGGGGCTGCGCGCGTGCGTGTGGGGGTCTCCCCCACAAACCCCTCGAAAGAAAGAAATAAAAATAGAAAGCAAGAAAGCGCAAAGATAGAACAAGGAAAGAAAGCAGGTA